TCTGACTGTCCCTGGCTGAGCGATGGTAGCAGGTAGGTGAATTCAGATGTAGAAGCTTCTGGAAAAGTTTTGAGCAGCAAGACCATAGCAGTTGGTATCGAAGTGATCTTGAGGGAGACACCACCTCTCTGGTGAATAACGCATAGTTTGACCAACTAAGAAATACAGTTTACTGTTTTTATTAGAAGGACTACCAACTCTAGAATTGTTTGGTGGTCCTTTCACAGGGAGAGAGCTGATATAATGTCCAGTGTGATAATGTCCCAAGGGCATTTGGGGGTCAGGAGGACTGCAGTAGCCTTAGAGTCTTAATTTGTTTCAGACCCAGGCAATTGGGCTGTAAAAAGCACTGGACTAGCTGCACAGCTGCTGTAATCCCCAACATGCTGCGTTCAATGCCCCAGGAGGGCCGGGGTGCTTGCCAGGGCAGAGAAGGGAACCAGGACTATGGACCTGTCCTTTTGGGTTGAATAAGCTACTCCTCCCTGGATCTCCTCCGCTGAGTCACTTTGAGCACGTCTGGCATCAGAGTGCCACGCAGAAGCCCCTGCCCATTGTTTGCCGCTGATTTGTCACTGAATTTCAGCAGCACAGAAATATCCGTTTGCAGGACAGAGGAGCTCTCCAAGTGGCTTCATTTCAGTTGCTCCTGGTAATCAGACCTGCAAGACAAAGTGTCAGCCCAGATCTGGCTGCCTGATCTATAAGTGAGAAAAAAGAAGCCTGCCCCTTCTTGCAAGTGCGGGCTTGCTGAGCTTACGGACCGTTGGAAGCTCGAGTTGTTGGGTTGTGCGTAGTGAGGAGCCAGGCCCTCTCAGGTGTAGGCCTCTCGGCTTTGACGGTGATCTTCATCACCTGCTGGGTAATTGACCAAGGCCAATTTGAATTTCCCTCAAAGTAGGGGGATTCAAATTAGGCACAAAGGAGGTGGAATTTGTTACCCGGGCCTCCTTTTGTGATAGGCTAGAACTAAACATCTGTTTCCGTGGCATTAGGTCAGGGCAGGTTGGGGACGGCTGCTGCTAGGACCTAAGTGATAAGGTTCTGAGTGGAAGCCATTATTAGGATTAGGACCAGGTCTTCACATTTCCTAATGAGACAGAATTAACTGCAGGATCTGCTGAGAGGCAGGCATTGGCTACTCACAATTCTTCTTGTAGCCAGGACAGTCTTCAGCTCAGCATTGTGGGTGAAGTAGAGTTAACCTGTCTTTCCCTGCTTACCATGGGCTACGTATGCACTTCCTGACAATAGGTAGGGGGCTCAGACTGAGCACTCTAGCGTAGAGGTGCATGGAGGCATACCTTCTCTCTGGAGGTGCATCTACCCTGCCAACATCAGTGAGAGCTGTACATCCCCATGCCCTTAGCTCCTCTGGAATCTACAGGCAAGCCTGGCAGGAAGGTATGGCCAGGTAGCTAACCATCCTATGACATGACTGGAAGTCAGGTGACTTAGAAAGGCTGCCAAGCTCACTCAGCAGGGCCGGCTCAACTTTTCTAGTTGCTCCGAGACCTTTAAATCGGGTCCCATGCAGAGCCCACTCCATGACAGTTCCGAGGTGAGACGTCAGAATTTAGTTGTCCATCAGCTGCTGACTTCTCCTCTCTTCCTCCTTGTTCAGGGTTGCACAGGGCAGGATCCATTCTTCTCATTGGAACCTGGCTATCAAAAAGGTTCCACACTCTGGTTAAGAAACCATATAGGGCTGCCAGGTTACATGAGCTGACTCCCCATGGTATCCAACCACCCCTCTGCTTCTCCTGAGAATCATGGGCAGTTGCCAGGAATTTAAAAGTCTGAATTACAAATTTAGGCAGTTCCCCCAGATTCCCTCAGGGTTTTTGAGTGGTTGGAGGAGAAAAAGCCTGGGAAGGAAAGGCAAAGAACAGAAGCTCTGAAAGCTACGAAGTTTTCCCTTAGCACTCCATTGTGGAGTATGACTTTTTTTCTGAATGCCAAACTCCAGTAATTGGAATATAGCCCCTGGATTTTCCATGTTGCCATAGTAATAAGTGTGTTTCTATAACGTCTGATTACCTCTGGTAGGAGACAGGACAGATCCAAACAGAAGATCAGCCAGGATTGCCGGTGCCAGAGGTTCATTTCTTTGAACTGGAACCAAGATGATCAAGATAGTTTATCTGAAAGTAGCCAGAAACAGGAAGCGGCAGAGGTGGGCTCAAGCCAAGTCCTTTCAGTAGCCAAGGATCAAAGCTGAGATTGGTGAGAGCCAGACTAGAGAATGAAAATGAAGCTGGGTGGTTGGAAAGGAGGCAGAGCTGGAACAGAAGAAGACGCGGATTAAAGGCTTGGAAGCAAAGTGAGGAGGCCCTAGGCAATTGCCACAAACAGAGCTGGAATGTCTGCCCCTTGTTTTTATTATCTGCCCGTCACGTGGTACATGTTTGCATCAACCTAGTTTAGGAGACCCAAGGCAAATATCCAGTTAGGAATATGAAACTAATCAGGTCACAAACAGCTCTCCATACATCACCTCTTCCGTGCCCATTCACACAGGCGGCTCCTACCCATTCCAGGACACTATAAAGTCTCTGGCAGCGCTTCTTACCAAGTCCCAAACATATAGGTTGTTAATAATTTATTCCATTTCAACTGGGATGCTTTTTGCTGCCATAAAAAGATGCCTTGATTTAATGGAGAAGCTCTCTCAAAATTCATACTACAAACCCTGACTTCAAGAAATGCTTCCAGCCCTAACTGGTTTGGCTCAGTGAATAGAGCGTTGGCCTGTGGACTGAAGGGTCCCAGGTTTGTTTCCGGTCAAGGGCATGTACCTTGGTTGTGGGCACATCCCCAGTGGGGGGTGTGCAGGAGGCAGATAATCGATGTTTCTCTCTCATTGATGTTTCTAACTCTCTATCCCTCTTCCTTCCTCTCTGTAAAAAATCAATAAAATATATATATATATAAAAAAGAAATGCTTCCAGAACTAGCTAATTTCGTACATGGCCTGTGGATTCTTGCTGACTTCTATCTGTAATGATGACATTTCCTGATCTAGATTTGGGGTTGAGTTGTGCCTGTCAATCTTATTTGGGAAAGATCTAAAATCAACCACACAAATAAGATCTAAAAAAAGGTGAATAAACCGGATCTTTAAATGATTACCAATTATGAGAAATTGCACCTAGAATTATGTTATTATTTTTAAAATATATTTTGGTAAATCTCTACTTGGTAACTCTCTGGGTTGAGTCACTGTTAGTATAAAGTTAAGGGATTATCCTTCCTATTTAAGAGATGAATCCAAGATGGTACTTAGACACATGAAATCAGAACTGAGGGTACCTGGTGTCTTGTCCAATAAAACATCCTGTATTTTTTTGGTTTTTTGGTTTGTTTTGTTTTTCAAGCAGTGGATTGAGAATAGATTATGAAATTAATTCATAGGTCATAATCATTATTTTTTAAAAATAGAAGCACAACATAATGGAAATGATGCAATGGTATACAATAGAAACTAAAGTAAGGATAGGTATTTCATACAACATTTTTTTCTGTCTTACACATACTTGCGCACAAATACTGGCAACAATGTAAAATGCATTTCTTACGGAGGGCCCTTGGCCAAAATGTCTGAAAGCCACTTTCCTGGAAGATGCAGTACAATTGGTAATTATTTTTCAATAGAGGCCAGGCAGGGGGAGGAGTGCCCACAGGGGTTCATAACAATAAAAAATGGAGACATTTGGTGAAGTGGTTGACCTGGAAGGAAGCCTGTACAAGTAGCTAAAGACAAGGTCATCATGATGACAAAAATAGAATGTTCTAGGGAATTTGAGGATTGATAATGGCTACGACAACCCCTGAGGCTGCAACTACAAGCCTCAGCTGTACTTCAGCCATCACAGACTGTCTTCTCTCCCTCACTTTCTGCTGGGTGGTGTGCAAGAAAAGCCAGCCATAGTAGATGCAGAATCCATGCAGCTCCAAAGCCTTGGCAGGGTGGAGTTGTGGTGCTTTGGCCCTGCACTCTAAAGGAGACCTAGCCTCATTTTGTGGAGTTACTATATGTGGCATTTTTCGAGGTCAGTTTATTAGAAGCTTCCACCATTCATTTTCTGGCCACTGTAACCAGATAATATGTCTGTTGTTGGGTTTTAGTATCTCTAGGTAAAAAGATGGCATTTCAAGGAAACTGGCAGGTATGAATGCTTTAGGGCTTGAATTGTGAGATGCTTGGAGCTCACCAGACTGGGAATAGCTGGACAACTTCAGGACATGTAGATGTTGGTAAAGTCTAGCCATTGACGAAGACACACGCTGGATTGTGTGTACTTTCAAACCAGTACCGCCACTCTGCAAAGGCCACATTCAAAGGCTGCTACTAGATAGCATTGGCATAACCCAATGTGTGTGTGTTGAGTATCGTGCTATTGGAACTCATGTGACAGTTGAATGTTTCTCAAGGTCCAGATTCCATTAACACAGGTTCGTCGAAGTGAACCGTGTCTCCCCTCCCTTTTAAAAGGATAGATGAGAAAGCTCTGTCTCCATCTTGGATCTTCAGAAGAAGTGAGAATGAGGTGCATTTGCTTTGCTCCAGGCGTAATCATGTTCAGAGAAGCAAGCAAAGCATGTTGAGAAAACCATGCCTCTCCACCAGCAGCAGCATCCAGCCACTTGGGCAATATTGCAGTCGAGGAGGGGAATCCAGTGAGCTGGTCATGTGGGAGATCTTAGGTGTGTCTTTGAAGTGTGCACACTCAAACACACCGTTCTCAATCAAGTCTGTCTGTACACGGTCATGATACTTGTAGCCATAGTTAATAACAAGGGGACCAAGGACAAGGACTTATCAGGCCACAGGACACAAAAGGATATGACAGACTGGATGTAACCAGAATCAGAAGACTAGGGAACCTGAGGTAGCGACAACATGATATAGAGAACCATGTGAGTGTATTGAATCCTGGCCGGTAAGCAGATTGTTAGGCCCATGTTATTGGTGAAAACAGAAAGAATTGGGAGATACCATGGTCCCAGGAATTCAGAATTCAGTTTCTGGAAAGGTCGGTGTAAGTCAATTAATAAAAATACTACTAGCAAAGAGGTTATGACTTTTAACCAAGGTCAGAGGTTGTTTACTCTGTTGTACTTTTATGAACTCTGTGTGTAGGTAGACAAGAGGTGTTGATAGATCTTGAGTCTTGCACTTTTACCTTCTCAAAAATACATATTGATGGTATTTATATAGGCACAATAAACATAAAGAGATGTTAATTGTTCATTATACATGCATGTCAGTTGACATGAATTAGTGCTAAGACCAAGGAGCACATTTACACACAAAATAGTGTCTTACTAAAGTACTGGTTTATACCAGGTGATGCTTACCTGGTATTGCCCACTCTAGGCATCAGAGTCCTGAAACTAATAGTTAGATGTCTATTTATACCAGTACCTGAAGGAGTAAAAATTAAATATTTTATATAATTTTCTCTAGTATAATTTTATTATATAATTATGTAAAAGAGAAACCTGGTTCTTCACTAATGAACTAGAAAATCTCTTCTGCTCAGTGGAGTGAAACTAGTAATCTTCATTTTGGTCTGAATTTACCTCTTTTTCTAGTTCTTCTGACCTCTTTTTCACTCATCATGTGCTTGTTCCAACTTGAGATGTTTACCTTGACTTACCCTTTATTCTTGGTCTTCAGCTGTGTTTTTAAGATGGTTCTGAAAAATGTGTCCCCTCCCCCTAACACCCCCCCCCCCCCAAAAAAAAAAAAAACCACTTTGATTTGCTTATCTCCACAGGTCAGGCCTCCGTTCTTTTTCTAATCTAAGCATTCCATTCTCTTCATGGTCAACATTCTGTCCCATTGTGTTCTGCCACATTCTACACTAACTCAGTGATGGAAGAGGGTTTATTCTGGCGCCTCTGAGCAGCAGCAACCATCTCTATACCAGGGACTCAATTGCACAGCCACCTCTACTTCCCTAGGGACATTGCAACTTCTTTCTTTTTTCTGATGTAGAACTACTTGTTTAGAACTCCCAGAATAGTGTAACTATTAATGCTAATGATAAATATCTTTTTCTTATTCCTGCCTTTAATGGAAAAATGTATCATTCATCTCTGTTCACCACTACATATCGATCCTAAAAGTGCTAAGGATGTCATCTTCAATTCATTGCATATTAGAGGATTTGCTTTGTTTCATTTTAATTTTTATATATATTTTCTCATCAGAAATGAATTTTGAATTTTATCAGATGCTTCTTGGTCAAAATGATCATGGCTTTTTTAAAAAATAAATTAGCCTATTAATGTGATATGGTAATAGGTTTTCTAATATTTATCTTTCCCAGTGTTCATGAAATAACTCTGATTTAGTTATGGCAAGACAACTTCAACATAGTACAGAGGTTATGAACACATGTTCTAGAATCTGCCTGCCTGCGTTCCAATCCAAGTTCTGCCATTACTATTTGTTGTGAACACTTGACAAGAAATTTAGCTTCTATAATACTTGGGTGTTTTCTTCTGAAAAATCAGAGAGATAAGAATACTTTTGTAAGAGTCGTGTGAGAATCGTGTGAGATAATAAATAAAAACAACAGTATATGGCACATACTGTGTAGTAAATGTCAATTGGTATCTTTATTGTCTCTTAATATAATGCTAATTCTTCTGCTATTTCAGGCGTGATTCTTGTAAAGTATTTCCAAGTGAGGTTGGCTTGTAGTTTTCTTCTTGGATGCTATTTTTGTCAATTACTTTTGACATCTTTCTGGTATCAGGGTTATGCTAGTTTTGCCAGGTGAACTGGAAAGCTTTCTATTTCATTCCATTCTCTAGAAAACTAAACAACACTTATATTTCAGTTAATTGTGGTAGACTATTATGGTCTTCAAGATTCCTCTGGATATCGTTCTTTGACAACTTTTCCAATTTTTTTCATGGTTTTCATCTTTAAAATACTCCACTTAAATTAAAAATTGTATCATTTTTACTCTCGTAAAATATCATTTTACCATACAGTAAAAAATAAATTATCCTATTAATGTGATATGGTAATAGGTTTTCTAATATTTATCTTTCCCAGTGTTCATGAAATAACTGATTTACTTATGGCAAGACAACTTCAACATAGTATAGAGGTTATGAGCATAAGTTTTTTAGAGTTGAGTTATATAACATTTTCTTAAAAATTTTTAAGTCTTCTTAAAATCTGTTTCTTTCTATTATATTACAAAATTGATACTTGCTATTCTTCACCTTTTTTCAGAACTAATAGCAATTTTATTATCAGGATTATCATGGACAAATGTAGGAATATATCAATAACAGGTATCTCAATAGTTTGCTCTCTAATTTATCAATTTCCATTTTTATGAGTCCCTTCTTCCTTATTTTTAAATTTATTTTAATATTAGTTCAATGCTTAGTTTATTTATTTCCCTTCTTTTTAAGTCAAGGCATTATGCTAAGGAACTATGAAATTTCCTCTAAGTACAGTTTGATCCCATCCCATATTTTTAATAAATAAATTTAATGTTCTTTTTGGACATTTATATTTTTAATTTCTTTCTTGCATCAAGAATTACTCAAAAAGACTGATTTTAGTTGTTAAGAATTTATATTTTTCATATCTTTCAAACATCAATTTCTAGTTTTATTACACAGAGCTCAGAGAATGTGGTCTGTAATGTTGTTTTTTTCTTTCCCTTTAATTGATCATTTCAGCAAGAAACCTGGAAAAAACTGGGAGTTAAACATAGACACCATATTGGGCATGAAATAGCAGATAAAACTATTACTGTTTTTTATCTGCTTACTTATTATAGTTTTAATTTAAGTATCTTAATGCTCAATCTGGACTTTAATTTGCCTCAGTTAACTCAATATGCCTCCTTTTCTAAACTATTATGGATTTTAGAGTTGGGTTAGTGTGTGTTTTCTTAATTTTTATGTGGTGAGCTCATTTTTTGCTCTCTAGTATGAAAGTATTCACGTTATTAGCCATTTATGTAATACTAGAGTTCCGATGTTCTAAATTCATGCAAGGGGCTCAGCCCTCACAGCCCCGGCTTCATCTGGAAGGTCATCTGGAAGGTCGTCTGGACAGTTCTTCTGCTGTTCAGCCATCCAGTCTAATTAGCATATTACACTTTTATTATTATAGATAATAATTTGACCTATTGATTAGCTTTTGTTTGTTATAATTTGTATTTGCTTTCAATATCCTTAAATGCCTAAATTCCACTTTTAAGAAGATTATGTTTTGTTTGTCTCATTGCTACTTTCACAGAACATGGTTGGAGAGTGGGCCTTACCAGAAGAAATGATTGAAAATGTACCACCCTCCAACAATTGCATATTGGGCCATGTGGTCTACAGACTAACTGAAAAATCTCTTCCCCCTCAAGTTGAATCAGTAGAATCTGAATTGCCTTCATGTGCTATTAAAGGGTGCATATTAGGGAAGACATTTAGTGGAAAAACAACTGCTCTAAAGGCTCTAGAAAAAGGTAGAATTTCTTTCTTTTTATATTTGTATTTATCAAATTATCTTAACATTGACTGTAACTGCAAATGGCTATGTCTGTAGAAAATATACATGAGGGTCTGCTGATATATTAGGAAAATCTGTCATCAAGAATTTTATAATAGAATGATCAAATAATTTGTTTCTAAGTCAGACACTTACTGATATAGAGTCATAAACTGTGACTGTCCCAGGCAAACCTGGTTATATGGATATGCTATATTATCATGATGCATAGTATAACTAGAAATAACAAGTCTTAAACTTTCCTCATAAATTTTACTTACTTTACCAATATATGGAGTAGGATATTAATAATTTGTCACAAGTGCAAGAGAAATCCACTGAAAATTATATAATATAAAAAATGTAAATATTTTCATTCTTTATATTTGTTGAATTTTCACTCTGTCTTTGATGAGCCTTAGTCTTTCTCTGTAGAAGTTCTTTCAGTTAGAGGCAAAATCACAGATTTTCATCTGTTTAATTCATTTTTATTCATTATATTTTTCCCTTTTTCATGGGAAAGCTCAAAATTTGCACTGAGGCCAGGCCATCCTGCATCAATCTAAGACAAAGAAGGGTAGGTCATTATTGAGATGTCAAAGAGCCCTCCTTAAAAAGCAACTAGACAAAATCACAGTGAGATACCACCTCACATCACTAGAATAGGTTTATTTTTTAAAATATATTTTTATCAATTTTTAGAGAAAGAGGAAGGGAGAGGGATAGAGAGATAGAAACATCGATGAGAGGAACATCATCGATCGACTGCCTCCTGCATGCGCCCCCACTGGGGATCAAGCCCACAACCCAGTCATGTGTCCTGACCAGGAATCTAACTGGTGACCTCTTGGTTCCTGGGTCAGTGCTCAGCTGCTGAACCACACTGGCTGGGCAGGTGTAATTTTTTTTAATGGGAAAAAGACAAGTAGGGATATTGGGACACATTACTGGTGGGAATGTAAAGTGGTACAGCCATTATGGAAAGCAGTTTAGTGGTTTCTCAAATAAGTTAAACACAGAATTACCATATGACCCCAGAAATTCCACTACTAGTTATATGCCAAAAAGATTAAACACAGGTGTTCAAAAAAGAAGAAACAACATTGTATAGGAATATTCATAGCAGTACCATTAATAATAACCAAAAGTTGGAACTAATCCAAATGTCCTTCAACTGATGAATGGATAACAAATATGATATATCCATACAATGGAATATTATTCATCCATAAAAAGGAGTGAAGTACTGATGCATGCTACAATATGAATGAACCTTGAAAACATGATACTGGGTAAAAGAAGTCAGACACAAAAGGCCACATATTGTATGATTCCACTGATATGAAATATTCAGAATAGAAATATCCATAGAGACAGAAAACAAATTAGTTGTTACCAGGGATAGGGATAGGGTGAGGAAGTGACTGCTTAATGGGTACAGGGGTTCCTTTTGGGATGATAAAATTTTTCTGGAACAAGATAGTGGTGATGGTTGGACAACATTGTGAATAACTTAAATGGCACTGAAGTGTGTCTGTAGAATGGTCAAAATGGGTACTGTATGTTCTGTAAATTCTAACAAAATAATTTAAAAAAGCAGCTTGATCCAGACCGCAGTTCTAGGGGGCCCTTAAGACAGTGTGAGAGAGCGAACCCAGCACAGGACAATGATGTCATTGTTCTACATGAGAAGCTGTCAGTAAAACTGCCTTTTGTACTTTAGACTTTCCTATTCAGGTACTTTCTATTGACACTCTTCTCCAAGAAGCTATCAAAGCATATCATGACAACGAAACAGTCAGTGAGACCCTTCTAATTCATCATGAAACCGAAGAAAAGGCTCTATTGGATCTGCATAGTAGCGAAAGCCAGGCAAGTATGATTTTAGTTATCTTTCTTGCATCTTATATATGAGATTTGAAGCTAGATGGAATCTAAAAGATCTTCTAGACCAGAGATTGATGGCCTTTTCTGTAAAGGTCCCAAGAGTAAATCGTTTATATTTTGTGGGTCAAGAGGCAAAATCAAGGATATTATGGGGTACTTATATACCACAAGAGAAAATCCACCCCCCCCCCACCAGTTTCCCTGGGTGGTCCATCCAAGGTGATGGTCTGACTTTGTGCCCAGTCACCTTCCGCTAGAGGCATTCTCCTCAGGAAAGAGCCACTGTTGGTGAGGGGGTGGAGGGCCTGAATTTTAAGGGCTGGAGGGGAGAGGATAAGAGTGCTGTATGGAGTTCAGCAAGTCACCAGCGCCCAGAGTGAAATTCAACTCCTGAGAGCCTTGCAGTGGCCAGCAGCAGGGTCCCCATCAGGTAGTTGGAGCCAAAGCCAGCCCTGGGCAATGGTCGAGGCCAGTGCTAGAGCTGAGCAGGGACAGGGTGTGGAGGGTGGCACCCGGCTTAGTCTCCAGGCTCACAATGGTGTCTTATGGAGTTTTAAGTGCCCACGGACCATATAAAAATAGTCAGTTCCTTAAATTTGGTCCATGCTCATTATTGGCCAATCTCTGATCTAAACTCATAGACCTCAATTTGTGGAGGTGGGGGGTTGAAGGGAGGTTTACCAGCATCACATTCTCATCAGTGTTGCATCTTGCTACATTATTGCATGAAGGTTCTAGTGCAGAAAATAGGAGAATGTGGCCCCACCTTGGGAGACAGTAGAAGCCCTAAGCATGAATTGGTTTGATTGGGATAAGGGGCTTGGTAATGTCTAGCCCAGTGTTGGCAAACCTTTTGCGCTCGGTGTGTCAGCATTTTGAAAAACCCTAACTTAACTCTGGTGCCGTGTCACATATAGAAATTTTTTGATATTTGCAACCATAGTAAAACAAAGATTTATATTTTTGATATTTATTTTATATATTTAAATGCCATTTAACAAAGAAAAATCAACCAAAAAAATGAGTTCGCGTGTCACTTCTGACACGCATGTCATAGGTTCACCATCCCTGGTCTAGCCAGGGGTGGGCAAACTTTTTGACTCGAGGGCCACAATGGGTTCTTAAACTGGACCGGAGGGCCGGAACAAAGGCATGGATGGAGTGTTTGTGTGAACTAATATAAATTCAAAGTAAACATCATTACATAAAAGGGTACGGTATTTTTTTTTTTTTTTTTTTTAGTTTTATTCATTTCAAACGGACCGGATCTGGCCCGCGGGCCGTAGTTTGCCCACGGCTGGAGACTGTGATCAGGATCCCAGGTTCTAAACCCAAAACTCTTTCCCCTACCTGATGCTGTCTCTGCAATTGAATGAATTAGCAGAGAATCTAATCCAGATCATTGGCATGAGCTATAAAATAAGTGTCCTTTAACTATGGATTCTGAAAATAACGAAGTTTTCTTCACTGTGGGATGCTGTGTCTTCCATGTTGTGGTACTCTTCATATTCCAACCTTTTGGGTGCCAGATAACACATCTTCACTTTATTTCCCTTATGGTTAGCTATGACTGACATCTCTAGGATTGTTCTTTCTCGGGTGGTTTCCATAAACTCTACCTCTTCTCATCTTCCATTGTGTTTTCAAAATGGCAGTTGCTGTATTTTACATAGTAATTGAAGGCCAATTGAAAGACAGATTCCACCACAGGTTACTGTGTATTTCCATAAGTTCAATTATCACCAAACTTTGTTTCTTTCTGGAAGTTATTCAGTCCCTCCAAATATCACTTATATTTTAGTGTTACAAATAGTGGTTTTTTTCAAACCTTACTTATAGAAATGAAATTTATAATGCTATTAAATGACAACATTAAAACCTGTCCGTGTGTGTGTGTTTTCTCCCCAAAGGATCTTCAGAGTAAATTTTCACTTGATCTACTTTCAGAGGAAGCCTTACCAGAAGGAGAAGATAAAACTATACTTAGTAAGTAAGACATTAAAACACATCATCCAGCCCTAGCTGGTTTGGCTCAGTGGATAGAGCTTTGGCCTGTGAACTGAAAGGTCCCAGGTTCAATTCTGGTCAAAAGCACATGCCTGGGTTGTAGGCTCAATCCCCACTAGGGGATGTGCAGGAAGTGGCCGATCCATTATTCTCTCTCATTGATGGTGTTTTTATCTCTCTCCCTCTCCTTTCCTCTCTGAAATCAATAATATATATATATCATCCATCATTTAATTTAGAGGGACAGAGAAACAGTAAGAACACATGTATGTGAGCACAGATGTGCTTGCAGGAGAGTCTCACGTAATTGTCTCCATGGTCATTTGACAGACAGAACAAGATAAACACAGAGATCCCTAACCTTTGTCTACAACTAGGGATAAGACAAAAATAACACGAATTTTTTTTCACACTTCTTCAAGTAGTTGCTCAGTTTGGCTGTGTTATCAAGACCACCAGAATATATTATCCTCCTTTCTTCCTGGCTTTTCATTGTTTGTTTCACCTATGCAGGTCTGGGTGAGTAAGTATTACTGGGGCCCTCTCCGCGTACTACTGCTTTGTTCACAGTGTTGAGGGAGGCTGCAGGGTCTGGACTCTTCAAGCCACCTGAACAGTGGTACCTTAGATAATGCTCAGTGTATTCCTAACCATGGGCAAGCAAATAGAACCAAGCTTCCCAAACCTAATGAGAAATTAGCTCCAGTTCTTTAGATCCTTTGTAGAACCACTGGTAGAAAGCAATTTTAAGTCTTAAATATACTCTCTATGTGTGCTAATGATGGCTTTTCCATATTCAATAATTTCTTCATATCTATATTAATAAAAGGATAATATGCTAATTAGACAAGACATCTTCCGGACATCCTTCTGGACAAAGCCATGGTGGCAGGGGCCGAGGCAGAGGCAGTTTGGGGCAATCAGGCCAGCAGGGGAGAGAAGTTAGGGGCGATCAGGCTGGCAGGGGAGGGCAGTTAGGGGAGATTAGGCCAGCAGTGGGGAGCAGTTAGGGGTGATCAGGTTGGTAGGGGAGCAGTTAGGGGGCAATCAGGCCACAGGGGAGCAGTTAGGGGGCGATCAGGCCAGCAGGCAAAAGTGGTTAGGGGCAATCAGGCAGGAAGACAGGTGAGCAGTTAGGAGCCAGCAGTCCCGGATTGCAAAAGGGTGAAGACCTGGCTGAGGGACCCCCTCCCATGCACGAATTTCATGCACCGAGCCTCTAGTTCTAGAATAATGTTCAGATCCTCCTGTGCCATCATCACAATCGCCATCAGCACTGGACAATGCCTAGAGTCCCTATGAACATGCAACTCCCTAGAGCAGCCGAGTTTTCCATCATTTAAAAGGAGATAATCTGTCCCTTATTTGGGGTATTTGTTTCTTCCAGATATTTTTATTAATTTTTAATCTAAATACTGTATAGTCTATTTTATTACAAAAGTACAGTGATTATAAATGGACTCTGAAAACTGTATTTTTTCATAGAATTTAACCAAAACCCCTCTGTCTTCTAACATTTTCTACTTTTAGACTTGTTACTTATAACTAGATAATCCAGGAAAATAAAAATATTAACATTTTCTTGAGAAACTTGGCTTGTTTTCTGAAAAGAAAACCCCAATATGAATGTATTTCTAAGGATATTGCTGTGAGTGCGCCATACTGAGGGAAGGAGGTAGGAAACACCAAGCCACACAGTGGCTAGGATCTTAATGTTGTGGAATGAGGGTAACAGCCATACTGTGGTATTTCTATTACTTCCTTCCTCTGAGTATTAGGCATAACTGGATCCAGTGGCCCATCAATCCAAAACCATAGATGGTCAGATGCTAACATGGTTGTTAGTTGTAAATACTGGAGTTTGTTCTTACCACTTTTTCCTGTTGATAGGTTCTGAAACCAATAAAACACCAAAAGCTGAAGAAATCGAGTTAAGTGACAGTGTTTCTAAAGTAAGTATTGTAATCTAATTTTGGTTGCTGGTATATTGGAATGTATCATGATCCCTTGCTCTTAGGAGTATCTTCACGTGGAATGAAATGGCAATGTGTTCCTCTTTGGGTTAAAGTAAATCTGAGAGTAAAATATAAGCTAAATCTGAGTTTACTTTATATTTTTTATATTATTTATCTTTAAAGCAGTGGAAATTTATGTTCAGTTTTGCCAAGTAAGAAAGTAAACACATTCTTTTATTTTAGACTTATGCCAAATTTATATTTATGTGTTTTTCTTTACCACTCAATTTATGACTTTTATTTTCTTTCAGACTCTCTTTACCTCTAAAGAATTTTCCCAGAATTAACTCTTTGCCTTATTTGTGACTCTACAGAATATTTTATTAACCTCTGAAAAAATGTTTACAACAATTCACTCACTATTGTTTTAGTGGAAACTAATATTTCTGTATATAGTATTGCTTTCCTGTATATGGAAACATTTTTTGTTTATTTTCACAGTTCACTGTATGTGCTCAAATAGAATGGCCAGATTAATCAAGTATAATTTCATTTACTTTTTTATGCATTTCATCATGGAAAATAATTTCATAATGTTTTAGATTTCAAAACTGTTTAAAGAGAGAGAAAGTTTTGGAAGGATACATACCAAACTGTAAACATAATGACCAACAGAGAAAATGATAAAGGGGGCCTTATAATTTTTACTCTGTGTATTTGAAATATAAATTATCAGAAAGGCTAAGTGTGTTTTTATATTTACATTTATTGAGTTATAGGTCCCCCAGAGTCCGTATTTCAGTTCAAGTCAAAGGTTATACTTTGTTTCATACACTGTTGTAATGATTTGGGATATATCACTGAACAAAAAAAAAGAGTTTATGGGCCTAATGAAGTTCGCATTTTAATAGAGGAAGACAGAAAATAAACCACAAACACATAAATAAATGAATTGTATGGTCTATTAGATGGTGATGATGCCAGGAGAAGAGAAAAAGTAGAATAGAGAGGAGTAGAGTAGAGTAGAGTAGAGTAGAGTAGAGTAGAGTAGAGTAAGGGGGATCAGGGACCCAGACGGTGGAACAAGGGGAAGTTGCTGTTTCACATGGGGTAGTCCTCCTTGAGAAGGTGAAGTTTAAGCAGATTGAAGGAAGATTGAGAGAGTCATCCAAGTGGACCCGAGGACGCACTTCAGGCAGAGAGAAGAGCTGGATGACAACCATGAGGCAGAAAGGTGCTTGGTACCATAGGAGAGGAGTAGGGGATGAGACCAGACAGATGCACAGGAAGAGAGAAGAGCCAGGCCATCAGGGCCTTTCAGGCAATGATAGGACATATGGAGTAAAAGGGGGAGTCTTTGCTGGGTATTGAGTAGAGATGTAGTATCATTTAACCTATAAAGTGCTCAGTCTGGTGGCTGAGTCACGAAGCGGCATAAGGGAAGTTGATATAATAGAGTAGCTTTGTTGGACTAGCCCTTCTACAGATGACATTATAAAGCTGGCCAAAATAGAAAAGCTTAGTATTTGAGGGCCAACAGCAGGTGGATAAAGCAAAGCAGCGACCACACACCAGGCAGGAAACGCATTGAATGTGACCATTGAATGAAGAAAGCATCACTGGACAGGAGCCACGCTTTTGCAGGTCATACCAGAGGCATACCAGCTACATGGCACGAGCTGCTAGAACTCTAGCAGAAAGCTTCCATCTTTCTGATCTGAATTATTAGAGGATGAAGTTTGGGATGCTGAAAATTAAAGAAGATCTTGGAAGGGAGGGAGCTATAAGGGAGGAACCTCAAAATCTGCATACACATTTTCCTTAAATGCTTGGCTGACCCCGGAATTGTCACAAATGATTGGAATCTTCATCAGAGAAAATTTCCATTTCATGTTTTTTTCTCCAAATATTTAGAATCTTATTTTTTAAAGTAGCTGTACTCTACCATCCATTGTTTATTTTTATAGTTAACGGTGCGTGCTCAGCTTGGTGCAAAATCCGAAAAATTGCTGAAGAAAGGAAAGAGCGTTTCTGACACATTGCTAGTTAATATCATGGTAAATGCTATTAAGTAAGTATTATTTGTGTATCTATTTAATATATTCTCTACCATATAGAGATTATAAAAATAATATAGAAAAATTTTATATTTCATATCTAATGAATGCTACTACTATTCTATGTAAGAAAACACACAGCAAGATCAAGATATATTTTGTTATTTACATGCCTGTATTTCACTTTCTGATTTACCAACTGTATTTTATTCACCCAGATGCTAATTCAGGTCAGTTTCTATAACATGTGAGACATTCAAAGAGAAATCAGGTACTACTTAGAAAAGCCAATGGACGACGGATTATGGATGGGAGAGACTCTTCACAGGCCAATGTGCTTCCTCTTTTTGTGTTTCAGGAGGAGGGTATGAACTTAGGGATCCAAAGGTTGAGCAGTGATGTGTAAGAAGGTGGTGAGAATGTAGAGGTGCACAGGCAAGAATTAATTATGTGCAGAACACAGAGGTGACATGTGATAGGGGATGAAGAAAAGCCAAAATAGGGTGTAATTCTGTAATCTTCCTCTTTTCTAAGGAAGGAGAATTCTCCATAGACCTTCTTTGTAATACAGTAAAGGGGCAAATTAAAAGAAGCCATAAAAGCTCAGTTGGTACATATAATAAAGAGATGAGGTTTGGAAGGATGGGGAAAAAAAAAATCAAAAAGCTACCATGAAAGAGAGCTGGTGTGGGTGAGGAAATAGAATGGGGTAGCTGTGCTGTGTAAGAAACATGAGACCCATGAGAGAGGGAGGGAAGGAGGTTTTAGGGAAGTTGTGCTCTGCATCTGGAATGGAATCTGCCTTTAGTGTTTTCTTACGACCTTATTAAAGGTTTGAGTTGCTTCTCCATTGTGATGTATCTTGGAATGATTGTTCCTGGAATGCAGTACTGAAGAAAGTGGGTCACAGGGATGCTCCCCCTCAGAGCTGGAAGGGATCTCATTCAACTAGTTGTAACATTTCTCAGAAGTGGTGCAAACTATGTTTAACCTATGGGACTCCTTGTTTAAAACATTGTATATGAAAAAAAAAAGCTATAGGGTGTCCCAAAATTCACGCAAGATTTGAATTTTGCGTGAGCATTTACAACAACAACAACAAAATAAAAGCCTAATTTTACTTGGTTTATTGAATCAGATTCTAATATCTGTTGCCCTTTGATTTCAATCCCTTCAATTTGATAAGCATTAGCAAGTACCAATGATGGCCCAGGAGCAGGGAAAATGAAGACCACGGCTTTGTGTATGCTCCAGCAAAACCGTGGGGGCCTTTTACCTGATGTGCTATTTCATACATAACCCTATACTATATACTTTATGAATTAATAAAACATTTACAATTTTCAATTATAAACCTGTTTTTTCTCTCAAAATTACTTCTTGCGTGAATTTTGGGACACCCTATATAAAGCAGATCTTAGCTTTGGTTTCAGCGGCGTTCTCGTGTCTGCACATTACCCTCTTCACTGCCCTCCCACCACCATCCCCACTGCTCCTGAGATGCCTTCAGAGGACTGCTGTCACTTTGAAATTCTTTCATCTGGTCCAAACTCATCCATTTTCCATGAGGAAAGTAAGGCACGTGGCAGTTCCATGAGGCAGTTCGGTCACGTGTCTGGTTAGTAGGGTGGCCAGAGCCAACGCCCAGGTCTTCTCACCCTATGTCACCTGATGTCATCACACGACAGCTGAACAAGTGTGACCCTGACCACCTCCTCCCTCTGAAGTAGCTCCTGAGACTGTGGGTGGAGGAGGGATCCCACAGAGCTGGCGAGGTGCTCAAGAAACATCTCCATTGTAGGCCAACAAGCCGATTCTATGTAGTGCTTTACCAAACTCTGGACAAGTTATAAAAGCAAAAATGAGGTACTTTCCTGCTTTTTATAGTCCTAACAGAAAAAGAAACAAGATTATAACTTTTAATCCAAACACCAAAATCTCAACTGTGCACGATTTAGAGGTTTAGAAGAACAAAGTTAAAGTTTATACCCTTTTCACACTGTTTCCCAATTAAAAGAATTAAAATAATTCTTAGACCACCCATTCTCTATAGAGGATACTACACTGAGGGTCTGTACCCAACTTATAATTTAATTGAGATAAATGAGACTCACTTGAATTTTTCTAAGTAGAAATATGATAATTACCAGTTGTGTAGTGAGGTGAATGAAAGATGAGTTCAGATCAGGCGGTCATGACTCCATGCTGGCTTGGGTCCGGTAGGAAGAACTTCCCAGGTTGGCATTGTGAGTATCCATTATGTACTGGGGTCTTAAAATATGTCATTTCAGTTCATTCTCATAACCACCTTGTGAGGTATGCTATCCCACTTTGTATAGATGAGGAGATAGTTTCAATGGAGAAACTGCCTGGGAACACAATCTAGAAAGTGCAAACTAATTCATACTCACACAACAGTGAGGAGATCACTTTGTTTGAAGTAAATAGTACAAAATTGTGAGAGAGAAGATAGGTAAGGAGGTTGTGTCCAGGTAGTTTTAAATACCATGTCATGGCCTCTAGAATAGATTTGGAGGGCAGCAGGTACCCACAGAAGGATTTTAAGCAAGTGAATGATTAGTTAACCCAAATTTACTATCTAATCTAATAATAGACAAACATGGTAATTGACCATACCTCCGCTACGCTTCCCATTGGCCAATCAGCAGGATATGCAAATTAACCCAACCAAGATGGCGGCTGGCAGCCACGCAGCTGAAGTGAGCAGGAGGCTTGCTTGCTCCAGTGATGGAGGAAGCCAAGCTTCCTCCCTGCTGCGCCCGGGCTCTGAGCTCCACTCTAAGCAACAAAGTTGCAATTATAGAAGCTAAACAAACCCCAGATACCTGCTTTCAGCAGGCCCTGGCCTCAGAGCTGGAGCGGCAACAAAGTTTCAATTATAGAAAGTAAATAAATCCCAGAATAAAAAAAGAAAGAAAAAAAGGAGAGGCTGGGAGGTTCCATCGCTGGCTTGGCCAGCCTGAAAACAGCCCTCAGCCCCTCATCCAGACTGGCCAGGCACCCCAGTGGGGACCCCCACCCTAAAGGGGGTGCGGGCAGCCTGAAAATAGCCATCAGCCCCTCATCCAGGCTGGCCAGGCACCCCAGTGAGGACCCCCAACCTGAAGGAGGTGTGACCAGCTGCAAACAGCCATCAGCCCCTCACCCAGGCTGGCCAGGCACCCTAGTGGGACCCCTATCCTGATCCGGGACATCCTTCAGGACAAACCAGTCGGCCCCCACTCATGCATCAGGCCTCTATCCTATATAGTAAAAGGGTAATATGCAAACTGACCCCAACAACAGAAAGACTGGTAATGACTGGTCACTATGACACACACTGACCACCAGCGGGTAGACACTCAATGCAGGAGCTGCCCTCTGGTGGTCAGTGAGCTCCCACATGGAGGAGCTCTGCTCAGCCACAAGCCAGGCTAATGGCTTCCAGTACAGCGGTGGTGGTGGGAGCCTCTCCTGCCTCCTCAGCAGCGCTAAGGATGTCCGACTGCAGCTTAGGTCTGCTCCCCGCTGGCAAGTGGACATCCCCCAAGGGCTGCCGGGCTGCCAGAGGGATGTCTGATTGCCATCTTAGGCCCAATCCCCCGAGGAGCAGGGCTAAGCCAGCAGGTGGTCATCCCCCGAGGGGTCCCAGACTGCAAGAGGGCACAGGCCGGGCTGAGGGACCCCCCACCCCAAGTGCACAAATTTTTGTGCACCGGGCCTCAAATAGATAAATAATATTCATACAGGAGGAGATTGTTATGAAGTTGAAAGAAAGATAAAGGAAAGATTCATTGTATTATTATTTCTAACATACTTATGCCTACCGCCATGTTCATGGTTTGTCCATTTTCAATTTAGTCAGATACCTGTGGATCAAGGCTGGATCCTCGATGGTTTTCCAATGACACTGAACCAAGCAGAGCTTCTGGAGCAAGCTCTCACAGGTTGCACCAGAAACCTCATGGAACTGGAGGAAAAGAAAGCACGAATATTCACACTGGCTGTTGATCCTATAACTGCCAAAGATGTGCCTTTTTCCCCAGGTGTATTTGATTTTGTCATATTATTAGACGTTTCAGATAATTCCTCACTGGGTCGCATGAATGACATCATGGGTAAGTTGGACACATTTCCTCCTCCTCCTCCTCCTCCTCCTCCTCCTCCTCCTCCTCCTCCTCCTCCTCCTCCTCCTCCTCCTTCTCCTCCTTCTCCTTCTCCTTCTTTAATGACCTTATTTACAATTTAAATTTCTCTAGGATACTGGGTATCCTAAAATTTAGCTATTTTCTGGCACCACCTAACTGGAGTTAGTGCAGACTCATTCCCACAACATTTCACCCAATTACTGATGTCAATCTCAAGTAGTGGATCCCCAGGTTAATAATACTCTGTCTAAGTTGACTACAGATGTGGGAGCTTTCATGACTCCTCCTTGGGTTTGATAAATTGCTGTAATGAATCACAGGACTCAGGGAAACACTTTACTTATGATTACTGGTTCATTATAATGGATTTTATAAAGGATGTAGATGAATGGCCAGATAAAGGGGTGCATAGATCAAGGTCTGGAAGTGTCCCTGTGCATCTTTGGAGTGCACCCTCCTCCCAGAATGTGGATGCATTCATCAACCCAGAAGCTCTTCGGGTCTCTTCTTCAGAGTTTTTTTTTCAAAGATGTCTATTGATATTAGTATATTAGTATAAGCCAAAACACAGGAAGTAAAGTTATTAGATGAGGGAGAGAAGTTGAAGTGTTCAAACATGCAACTCTGGTTTGCTAAAAAATAAAGCAAAGCCAGGATAATGCTGCTAATTTGGTGGAAAAGGGTGTTTAGGGAATGACTGTTGTCAAAGAAGTTCATCAGTGACATGGGAGTACTGGACAGATCATCAGAGTATAAATCGTTAAGATTGCAGAGATGGAGCCATTCAAGGTGACCACAAAATCCTAGATGTGGCCATGGCAGTGAGTGCCGGAGGAGAGAGGAGTAGGGTTGGGGAGAGAGCAATGCTCATCCATGTGCTGAAGGCCTTGACATACACAAGAAAGTGACCCTGAGATGGTGCATGGCAGCATCTCCTGAGAAAAGCTCCCACAATTTCCTTCCATCACCCATTACTGATGTCAGTCATCTTTGAGTTTTATAAATAACCACAGCATTATTCTGTATTCTAAATCCAGTTCCTCTTTTTATGCCATGAATGTAGATAGAAAAAAACAGATTGCTATATCCTGTGAGGGTCCTTCATTTTCTTGAACACCGTTAATTCACTCTCCAATGATCTTTTGTATTGCCTGAGTAATTCTATTTTTTTAAAATCTAGTACAAGGCTTCCCCCCCCCCTTCATGATTTTCTATTTATTCTAAATTTATGAGTGTTCTGGGCTTTATACTATTAATTCTGAATAGGGATCAATCAGAGCTGTTGAGATTGTTTTTGTTATTGTTTTCGGTCTCTTGTGGTCCATTCCTTTATAATTATTCTACCCTAGGGGAAGATGATAGAGTCTATAAAGAAAGATAAATTACTTTATTAGTAATATAATACTGACAACTAACTTGTATGCATCTTTGAGTTTATGTCTACCCTGTTATTTCATTCTTAATTTTTACATCCTGGTGGTGGTTTTCGAATCATTTGCTAGTCTGTTATTCAGGATGACCCATCATTTTTCATTGTCATCTCTTCATAGTTAGTCCTGAGACCCTCTCCACTGAAACCACAACTCCTCTTTATTGTTGTATGTCATGCTTTCTCCAATTTCCAAGGGAATTTAAATTCCGATCCCAAAACTACACTCTTTCAACATCTTATTAAGCATTTTCAGTCATTTTGGACCAAAGGTGGGGCCATATTTATTTGACTTTCTTGCATCAGTACATTTTGTTATGTCCACACTGACAGGAGCCAGGCCAAGAGACATTGTGAGAGTTTAAGAAATGTTATTGCATTCTCTCACAGCGGGCTGAGACCAGTGTCGGTGTCAGCCCCAAGAGGGGGGTTAGATCCTCTTATTTAGGGTAAAACTATGCAATAGAGGGTCAGGATGTGGGTGCATGAGTTGTTCAAGGGAGTCAAGGGAGGAGAATGCACAGGTCCAACAGGCAGAGGGTGTACTTCTTATCTTGCCTCCGCTGGCCCCAAGCTATGGGAAAAGGCTTTTAACAACATCTATTTCAGAAAACATGTCCAAGCAGGAAAGGGTAAGAGCAGGTCACCCTAATACATTTTAACAGCACGTCAGCAACTTTGACTCATTTTGCAAATTATCTAATTAGGTAATTTTCATGTCACAGCTAAAGCATTTTCAACGGAGACTTCTCAGGAAGATGTCGATCAGTATGTAGCTGCTAGAACATCAGACACGGGTGGTGACCAGAATTTAAGAGACCAAATTCAGCACCGGTTAGTATAAAACTCAGTGTCCTTGCTTCCTATTCTTTGAACAGACTGACAAGTCCCTTTGGGGTCATCAGATCCAGGGAGAAGATGTATCTCCTAGCATTCAGTCTTTTACAGGTAGAGCAAAGCTAAGTAGCTTTGATGTTGTGTGCTAGCTTGCTGATATAGTCAGAGCACCAGTCACCATAACCTGGGAGGGAAGAATTAAATCAGGTAGCACCTCCCTCTATGGTTACAGGAACTTACAAGTTCATTATATGGAATCCTAATCCAGCCCCTAGTCAGCAAATGCTGATGAAAACTGTAAAATCTCAAAGAGCTGGGCAGCAGACTACAGAGTGTAGTTCTAAAACTACTTCTGGTTTGCTAAAATGAAGTTAAGCTTTTTTAAAAAAAAGAAACGATTATTTTGGTTGCATGCAATTTGTTCATTGGAAAAGAAAATTTAAACAATTTTATGAAACCTTGAGGAGTCTAAAAATACATAGTGAGCCAGGGACAAGTAATTTGAGTGACATTAATTAAACCTACTGCCTCTCAGGGAACACAGGAAAGTTTCAAGAATCATTCCAAGAATATATTTGAGTAAGGCAAGTAAGTCGGCCAGCTCCACTTACTCAACGATCTCTTCAATTTCTATCTTGTAAGAAAAGAGTAGATGATGTAGGCAGCTCAGGCTGTGGCTGCCCTCAAAAGCGCACTCAGCTCTTCCCCTGTGAGCGCAGGCCATGTATCCTTAGAGAACTGAACTGCCACTAAAAGGTTCCTGAAATGATTCTGTTTTAAACCTTCTTTTGCTCTTTCATACACCTCAAAAATATGGCTTTTTGGTATTAAATAATTTCTTCTTTAAAGTGAATATTCTTCCATTACCTGCAGAGTTCTTAAAGTTGGTCTTTCAGATTTAAGTAGATTGGCAATGTGTGTTTTTTCATTATGGACGTGAGATAAATCATGCATAATGTTACTTGAATATTTCAATCAGTATGTGATGTTTATATAATATTTTGATATTGTAGAATTATAGGTTTCTTGGACAACTGGCCTTTATTGGAGCAATGGTTTACAGAACCGGAAAATATTCTGATAAAAATCAATGCTGAAGTAGATAAAGAGTCATTATGCCAAAAAGTGAAAGAAGTGGTTGCGAATGAAATGGTTAAAAAAGAGAATAAAGGTAACTATATTTTTTTTATAATTTTGAGCTCATATAATCAAAATGTATGGTTTTAATGAATTTAGGAGGGAATGAGAGTGTGGTGACAAAGTCCTAGTTTGGATTTGGATTATGCCATCTACAAACGTCTTATACCTCTGATTTTAGTTTTCTGCCACAGATGTTTCTAAATAAAATATTTTTTCTCTTTGTTTTAATTTAATTAAAATAGGTCATCTAGCTGAAACCATTGTTTTCATATGAAAAACAATAATAGCAGAGTTAAAATCAAGGCTGCTAGAGAAAAGGGTAAAGATACCACTCTGTCAACCTGAGCCTTCTAAGGAAGCAGTGCGTGAATCCACCTTTTGGGAGGGAACACGAGGCAGTTTATTTTCCTCCATCTCCCCTTGTCGGTGTGAATTTACTGATTAGGAACTGCTGACTTATATGCCTGCCTCTGGGATACATATTACCCAGGTCAAACCATCCTGACCTCCTTTGTCTTTCATCTAACCAATAATAATTGTTCCATGGTACTATTGGAACTTACTATTGAAAGGGATGAGGAGTCATCCACTGTCAATGCCAGACTTCAAGTGGAATCCTACCCTTGAGAAATGATTTGCAAAATGTTTCCCTTTTATCAATTACCCCTAACTAAACTGGCAACTGCAGTTTCTTGGATTAATTAAAAAATTGTCCAAGTTAGTATCACAAGGATTCTAAAACTGCCAACTGCCCCCTGCCATTAGACTTGTGACCGACACACCATCATGTGTCAGTTGCCTGACACTGAAGTAGCACCCGGGAATCAGGCACAACCACCCTGGGGGCTAGGACCTCCCGCTTAGAAAGACAAGCTCCTGGAACACCCACGCAAAGCTTTCAGACACAATAAAAACCAGACCGGTCGATTATTTAAGTGGCTTAGCATGTTATTGGAAGGTCAGGTATTAGGCTGAGAGGAGGAACAAACCTCGCACAGCCATCTCAGAGTCTGGGCTGGGAGGCAAAACCAGACTGATTCTAAGCTGTAGCCTCGAACACCTGCAGGTTAGAACCAATTTGTTTCTCTCAGCTATCCGTCTCACTTTAACATTTTTCTAAAGATTTTACATTCTAATCGCCGATTACATTAGCAGCCTGAACTGCCACTTGTCTAAGATCTACAGTCCAATCAGTTAGTTATTTTAACACATATTTTATCATTAACATACTAAACATTTACTTAGTACTCTGTTAAAAAATAAAAGGCTGTGGTGCTTTTATATATATTCTGATGCCCACAAAAATGTGACCATAATATGTAGTTAAATAGGAAAAGGCAGGTTCTACAGTAAGTAATCTCATTTTTGTTTTAAAAGTGTGTCTATGTTTTAAATATGCACGGAAAAGAGTCCAGCAACCTATGCAGTACTTGATGGTCAGGAAAGGAGAAAGGCAAGGAGCCTGAGCAGGCCATTTCCCTTCCTACTTATTTGTCTAAATTGTTTGATTTTTTTAAAAAATAGTAATTATTTTACTTTATAATCAGAGAAAAAGTTAATTTCTACTTTGAAAAAAAATCTCCTAGAATGAAACCTCCTTGTTTGCTGAACTGCAGAGAATAATCTAAGGGCAAAGGGAGGATGTCCAAAGAGAAACAGCCATACGAGAGTATAGGGACTCATTGCCAGGGGTGCAGGCCGTAAGGTTGTGGCCATTTCCAGCATGGAGGGCTTGAAGGTCCGGGAGGGCAAGGACAGTGTGCTAGAAGGGGTGAACTTGAATCATGAAAGCCAAAGGGCCTTAACAATAACAGGAGCCTGGGAAAACACAAGCCAGCCACGCTCTGCTACTCAAGGCTCTGGGCTGGTTGTCCCCTCTGCCAGGCCCCTCTTCCCTCCCTTACCCACAGGCCTGGCTCCCTGACTCTATTCAAGTCTTTGCTCAAACCCCACCTTCTCAATGGGCCTGCCCTGCTCAGCACTCTATTTGAAACTTCATTGGCTGCCCCACAGCACTTTGGATCCCCTGTACTCTGTTCTATTTATCTTCTTAGCACTTATCACCTTCCAAACCTCTCATACAAATTAACTTATTCACTGGCACTGCTCAGTGTTTGAGCGCCAACCTATGAACCAGGAGGTCACGGTTCGATTCCCAGTCAGGGCACATGCCTGGGTTGTGGGCTCAGTCCCCAGTGTGGGGCATGCAGGAAGCAGCCAATTCAGTGATTCTCATCATTGATGTTTCTCTCTCTCTCTCTCCCTTCCTCTCTGAAATCATTAAAAATATATTTTTTTATTTTTATTTTTTATTTTTTTATTTTCTTTTATTTTCTTTTATTTATTTATTTTTTTAATTTACTGCTTAAAGTATTACAAAGGGTATTACATATGTGTCCATTTTATCCCCCTGCCCTAGACAGTCCCCTAGCCTCCCTTATCCCCCAGTGTCTTATGTCCATTGGTTATGCTTATATGCATGCATACAAGTCCTTTAGTTGATCACTTACCCCCCTACCTCCTGCCCCCCAACCCTCCCCGGCCTTCCTGCTGCAGTTTGACAATCTGTTTGAGGCAGCTCTGCCTCTGTATCTATTATTGTTCAAAAGTTTATAATGGTCTCTATTATCCATGAATGAGTGAGATCATGTGGTATTTTTCCTTCATTGACTGGCTTATTTCACTTAACATAATGCTCTCCAGTTCCATCCATGACGTTGCAAATGGTAAGAGTTCCTTCCTTTTTAGAGCAGCATAGTATTCCATCGTGTAGATGTACCACAGTTTAAAAATATATTTTAAAAAAATTAACTTATCCATCACATTGATGGTTTGCCTCTCACCGCTAGAATGCAAGCTTCACGGGGCAGCGATGTTTCTCTCTCGTTTTATTGTTGTATCTTCAGCAACCAGCACTGTGCCTGGTGTTGTTTGTAGTGTAGTTAGTAGTGTAGTACTAGCAGTAATAGTAGTAGCAGCAGCAGCAGTAGGAATAGTAGCAGGTGGTGGGTAGTGGTAGTCTTACCTTATTGTTACAGCCCTTCCTTTCTTTCAAGGCACAATTCAGGTTTAGTGAATGGTTGTTACATGAATGAATGAACTGCTAAAACTCAGTGGCGTACTATGTGCTATTCTAAGCGCTTTACATCTATTCACTCATAGACATTGGTGCTGCCATCTCCTTCCCCTTCTTTTCCACCCCACCCCCATCTCCTCCACCACATTGCTCTTCACCTTCTCTTTACACTTTTTTAAATCTTGTTTTTCCATTGGAAATTCTGAAATAATCCTTTTTTCCTATTCCACCACATTAGCTATGTTTAGATTGTTGCTTTTACATTTGGCACCCCCTCAACAAGCCACACACACACACACACACACACACACACACACACACACACTCCCACTCCCCATTCCATCCCCATCCCAGCCTCACCACAAACATCATCAGAGGGAAATGGCATTTCTTACCAAGCAGCGAAGCTGAAAATCTTAAGAGCTGGATAGTTTAAGGGAGAGCCCGAAAACATAAATGTAGCCTTAAATCAATACAGACAATTGATATCCATTTAGGTGGTTAATAGTAGGTCAAATGAAATAGTAGGTGTTTGAGATTCCTAATCAAAGTTCATTCTTATCGTCCTTTTGCAGTTAAAAGGGAACTAGAAGAAAAGGAAGCTGCGAAAAAGGAAGAAGCTTTCCTGGCTGAGTCTCCACCTTTGCCGCCGCCGCCGCCGCCTCCCCCGCCTCCTGAACCAGAAAAAGAGAAGGAAACGCATCCCCCGCATGAGCGCCCGAAAACTTCTGGAAAAGGAAAAGCACCACCAGGTGACTGACGGGACCATCTGCCATCCTGTCCGCCAGTCTCATTTTCACTTAGAAGAGAATGGCAATGGTAGTCCCAGTCCACTAGTCTAGAGTCAGACTTTGAGCAACTCTAATCATATGGATACAAGCCATATGCTCAGATGGAAGTGGAAGAGCCTTAGTAGCTAAGAGCCTGGCGGTCAGAAAGCCCAGGCACTTCACTGCGCTGGGGGCGGGGACCATGAAGTCCTCACACCCAGATCTACTGATTAGAATAAGTCCGCAGATGGGAAGAGAAAAGACACAGAGGAAATCAGGAATTTAGAGCAGATCAGGAGGACAGACGTCTGTGTGCTGAACTGTAGTTTGACGTATCGTGAGAACATCTTATGACATGAGAATTAGCATACGCAGGTATCCACAGAATAAGGGAACAAATCAATAGTACTCATTAGAGACTAGGATTTGTCTGTAACTTAATCTTCAGTGCAGTATGATTATAAAAGGATAGAAGTATATTATGTAATATATAATATATGTGGATAAAGAGTTTGTGTAGAAAATATTTCGTAGCTTACATTTTTTCTAGATTCTTAACCACTAAGGACTGTTAAGTTACGTGTTAGACAATGAAAATAATGACAAATGTAAAGTGCTTCATTGTTGAAATGCATGTTGTTGGTAGAATAACATCATAAATTTGGGCTGTATACATGAACAAATGTGGCCGTAGTTTCTGGTTTCAGCTTTATGAGTGGCAGATGGTACAGTTACCCAAGTCTATCTGAGTATATCTAAAAAGATTTTAAATTATTTTAAAAATATATTTTTATTGACTTCAGAGAGAAAGGGAAAGGAAGAAAGAGATAGAAATATCAATGATGAGAGAAACTCATCAATCGGCTGCCTCCTGCATGCCCCCTACTGGGGACTGAGCCCACAACCCGGGCATGTGCCCTGACTGGGAATAGAACCGTGACCTCCTGTTCATAGGTCGGGGCTCAACCACTGAGCCACGCCTGCTGAGCTCCCTGGGTATATTCTTGATAGTGTCTCATGATTGTATTTCCAATCCCATCATCTTCATGCTTCATGGAAATTTGAAATGGGCCTGAATATTTTTAAATTAAATTTATTTATATTAAATAAATTCAAAGACTTGGCAACATGCTATGATCTATTAAAGACCATTATATTCCAACAAAATGGGGCTTAACTAAAGACAAAATATACAAACTCTAAAAGAGGGTTGTTGTTTTTTTTATCATATGAACAATAAAACATAAATCTGTGCCCTACTTGGTTTGGCTCAGTGGATAGAGCATCAGTCTGGGAACCAAAGGGTCCCAGGTTCAATTCTGCTCAAGAGCACGTACCTTGATTGCAGGCTCCTCCCTGGCCCAGGCCCTGGTCAGGAGGGAACCAACGGATGTGTTTCTCTCACATCAATATTTCTCTCTGTCTTTCCCTCTCTCTTCTACTCTCCCTAAAAGTCAATGAAAAAATATCCTCAGGTGAGGATTAACAATAACCCAAACAAAAGAAATGCACAAAGCTGTGAGTTAAATGTACGCCCTTCCCCACTATCTCACTGGGAATTAAAAAAAACAACAACACAAAACAATTCAGAGACTGGAGGAGAAATGGAAATCTTTAGAACATCTGGTAGAACTGGGAAGACAGTCTCCACAGCAGCTCAAGTGAGACAGGCCTTCAACCTGTGGCTCAGCTCTCCCTCCCCCCACCCTCAGCCTGCTCACAGGTGGGAGGGTCCATGTACCTGAGCCAGGCCCTCAAACCAATCTCTGGTGTTTCTGGTCATGACACAGTTCAGTCTGAGTTTCTGAAGTTTCCTTGTGAATTTAAAATTGTTCTTGAATACTGTGCACTGGAGATATAATAAAGCTATTGTTGCTTCAAAGAGTGGTTGTATCTGCTGTCTCTTTTTTCCACCAAGGACAGGGCTGGTGCCTGATCTTTAAACATGCACAGAAGGGTTCATCTCCAGGGGCCTAGTTCCTGCCTTCCAACTGTAATCTCTGTTGCAAGGAGATCGTGGTGCTTTGGGGCACTGGTGGGGCAATAGCCTCGCTGCCCTTACAGCTCAGGGAAGCTTGGATAAGCAATTTTAGGAGGAAAATTTCCAGCAGGTTTTTTTTTAAATATAAAAATTTATAATTTTTTCAAAAGAGAAGATTTCAGAATTAAAAGTCTGAGGCCTCTGAACATGCCCGACTCAAACACCCAATTAGAATCACCTTTAGGAGTTGAGATGCAAAGAAGAAGAATTACTAAAAAAAAAAAAAAATCAGGGTGGAAATGGGGTCAAGAGTGAGGCATAGGCATAGAATAGTGAGTACTAAGTGATCTGTGTCTGAATTTTATATATCTGCTGCAAATGCACTTGGGATTAAGCTTGAAAACTTCAGAGTTACGGTCTAATAAAGAGTTTAGTATCAAATCTACTACCGAATGTCAGAATTCCATTTAAAACTAAAATTCTCAATGTGATGAAATCACCCATGCTGTGAGTTAAGAATATTTGTTGAGATTTCAGAATATATTTTAAAACAGATAAAAAAAACAAAAAATGTGGACAGAGTGCATGCTGTCCCAGCAGAAATTAGACTTGCCCACAATACTTTTTAAGTTGTATTTAGGTACCTCTATTTTTACCTTCTTTTCTCTGTTGCCTTGAGCTTAAGTTTAGAGCAAGTTAAACAGTTGATTACCCAGAATAATGTTATGAAAGGAACTAGAAGCATATGTAGATTTTAATCATCATCATCATCATTATTTTATTAAGCTTATTTCTTTAAAAAGAAATTAATTCAAATGTTTGAATTTCTTATTTATTTATGAGTTTGGAGGTCAGCTATTTGGACGTATCCAGTCCTTTTATAGAAGTTAACAAAGATTCAAGGTACTCCTTCTCTATGTCTTACACTGGTCTTATTTCTATGGAGTCCTGGTTGTTGGATCTGAGATGTTTAAATCTAAGTGGTATGTGCTATGCATTTACATACTCTTATAACTGTCACTTCTAAATACAAAGAATAGGTTCAGATGGGGTCTCTTTCCATCACAGGCATTTAAATTGCCCTATATATTCATCTTTCTACTGAAGAAAAATACTGTAGCTCCAGGATAAAGGGAAAAAATGATGAAATTTATTGACTGAATAATGCAGGATGTAGTGAAATTTTTTCAAGGAACCGATTTATTATTTGGGACATCTTATTGACGTATAGATCATCAGTTTCCCATTTTCTCTCTTCCAATATATTTTGGACTAGATTTCAGGGAATCCATGATAAATATATCCAATCTACCCTTTGCATTGCTAATTATAGTCAACGCAAAATGGAACTGCAGAAGTCACAAGGTAACCAAGTCTGTGGTCAAGGGAAGTTCAAGGATGCACCATATGAAAACATGTGGTTATTTAACTCTTCTTCAAGGTATTTTGGCATCATTCTATTACTGACTCAGTTGTCGTGTTGTATAAGGATTCTTCAGTTGAAATAAATCCAAACACAGCCATACGCTTCAAATGGATCTGTGACTAACTTTTAAAACTCTACAGGTTTGTTGCCGTGAAGAATTTACAACCAAATCCCTTACAAAATGTTGGTGTTAAACTAGGACTAAACTTCTGTGTGACAGAATAGAATAGTTCTAATGAGGCTGTCATTCAAGAAGTTCTGAACCACAGGCTTGGTTCAGAATATATTTTAACTCATGGTAAAGGCCTGAGCCATGTTATGGGGTTCACAAATGTAACTGTTTATCTGTGAGAAGTAACATTTGATTGCTTACAAATCATATAGCTCAGACTATTAAAAAAACGATAAATGATATGTATGTGTTGAATTTTGTTTAGAACCCCCGCGTGGTAAGCAAGACTCTCCTCCAGAAGGAAAGGGGAAGAAAGGTGATACTGAACTCAAAAAAAAAGGTATATCTGATTAAATATAATTCTGCACTTTCTAACTGTCTCAGTGAAAAGCTAGACTATTGGTATACACTGAATACTCTTCTCAGGCATTTGTAAGCCATACACCCCTGCCGGAGAATATAACCTCATTGTTTCCACAGCCTGGCTCCTAGAAAAGGTCCTGCTGAGAAAAGTGATGCTTGTAAGGAATAATTTCAAGAACATCTAATATTCAGAATATCCATTCATCACAGGTATTATAGGTGTTATCCTTGGGCTAAGCTATGCCATCAGAAAGCTACATACTGAACCTATTTCTTGGGTCCCATGGAATTGCTTTCACTGATAACCACTTTGGTATAAAATCCTCAATGACCTTCATGACATAACATAGCAGTGGAGGTGAAACTTTCATTATACCAATAATAATCTGGTATTATATCTTCTGAAGGGATAGCATGCCCACTACATCATTCAATGGCCCCTATAGGAAATCTTCGGTGAGAAATTTCATTTAGAATCAAGGGACAGGAAAATCTTTCTTCCTCTAAGTGGTTAGATAATTAGCTAAAGTATAGCATTTCCTCTTTTTTATTTTTCTGTCTAAAAGTTTAGAACAGATTAGCGACTCAGATTTAGTATCTATGCAGGGACCTAGGTCTCAGTATCTGCCTTCTAATGCCTCCCCTGGTATTGACCTTCTACTTTAAGTTGTATTTTTCCTGACCCTAATTTCATTTATGCTTTTTTTTCTATTTTATCTTAACTATTTCTGTGAAATAAGGGGTATATATTTTAAAGTAATTGACAGTTGGTGAAAGGAAATCCCCGCTTCTAAAAGCATGTTAGTTGGATTTATGTTGAAGCTGCTGCAATGGCCAGTTAATTAGAGCTTGAAAGGTAGTTATGGATACAGACAATTGGCATTTTCCAAGGTGCGTTTGAATGGGTTGTCATGAAATGTGTACCTCTGTTTAACTTTCATTACAAATTGCCAATGTAGTTGCCTCCCAAGAGTGTGCAAAGTTCACAAAATGAAGTGCTAAAAAACAATCTTTATTTTCAGCATTTAAAGATACATAACTATGAATTTCAAAGAGAATATCACCCTTCTCTGATCATATGCCCTGACGAGCTTATATAACTAGAGCCACTTGGTGAATTAACACTGACATAAAAATTTTAGCTGAAATGTTTAAGGCCATTACTTATGCTCACCTCTCACCTGCTTATACTAATAGGAGAATAATTTTCACATTTACGTGATTCATCCCTTGCTTTCTTAGTGTGATCAACAAAATCAAATGAAGGATTATTACAAAATCATCGAAAGTAGGAGTTAATTATACCTATGCATATTAGGTACTAAACCATCAAGTTAGACATAATAGTGCACATGCTCTATGATCATAAAAGTATACAGACTCTAAACAAACAATGAGCAGATACAAGTTCAACCAGTAAAATACATACACTGGAGTGATGTAGTTAGTTCAACTTAAGTAACTCCAGGGACTTAGAAAAAAATTAGCTCTTATTTTACTGAAATTCTATTGTATTTAATAATATTTGAAATACATGAAGAAGAAAATAAAACTCATTCCATCTCACATTGATAATTACAAGGTTCTTCTTAGGAATCTTTCTTAGAGAAATTTATCTTAAAGTGGCCATAGCATTCTCACTTTTATTGCACCAGAGAGTCAAGTCAAGGGATGAAAAATTATCAACAGAAAAAAAATAGATGAACATTTTGGTTATTGACTGAACAAAGATTTTCTTAAATTTTTCTAAATTAAAAAAAAATCTAGATACAACATTAGACCTGTGGATAATGGATACTCTTTTTAAATAAATAAGTAGAACTCACCTAAACTACCTACAAAATACAATTGCCAATTTCCCCTCTACATATAATCCATATATTTTTAACTAGCATTAAAGTAGAAGATATATTTACTTCCTAAAGAGCATTTTTCTTCAAAAAACATTACATACATATATTTTTGGGAAAGAATGTGCTCCCAATTCTATAGGCATCTATAAACTGCATCTAGAATCTGGATTACTGATAAGTAGAATTTAAACAGAATGACTTTCTACACTCTGACAACCTCGATCCTTTAAGGAAGTAATGTCCTTCCAGAATCAAGGTGCCTTGGTCAGTCACAGTCTTTTAGATCATTAGGGTGCACTTAACAGGTCTCATTCCCATCTTGATGCTGAACTGAAAATTAGGTCTCTTCTTTCTCCTTTTCTTCCTCTTCTTTCTCCTCCTCTTTCTCCTTCCTCTCTCTTACCCTTCTCTCCCCTCATATGTCCTCCCCTCTCCTCTTCTTCTGTCTCTTTAATGCCTTAATTCAGCCAGGCTATGGCATGGCGATTACCTTTATCCATACTCCCTGACTCCAGCAACGAATATAGTTTTCCACGCAGAAACCCAATGTCTCATGCAGGGAATGTGGGACTATTCAGGAGGTACCATATGCCTTCTTCTCTTCCCCCGCATCCCTCACCAGCTCTGGATAACCCCTACAATAACCTCCTCTTCTCCCTCGCCCCCCTCCCCTCCTTCCCTGGGCTTCAAGGAACACCAAGAACCACTTCTGTTATAGCTGCCCTCTTTCTCATTCAGGGTGAGGAGTTTCACGTGCCAGTTTTTGCAATAGTAAATGAAATACACTTTTCTCTAGACTCTAAACTTTGTAAGAACTATATGTTCCTTGTGGAAGAAACGACAGAGATAAAAATAAAATATCAAGTTGCTTGTCATAGCCAAACGAACAAGAGAGGTTGCATTGCTTAAAAAAACACACACAAAAACTAGTATTGATATTACTAGCTAATGTCTGGGCTGTAGAAAATGAGGTTTATTATTTTTGATTAGTTGATGCTACCCAGAGTTGCTTAAAATGTAATTAATGAATTGCCTGAAGTCCATGGCATTCATATATTTATTCACCCGCCAGAATCTGGTCCCGTTCACCTACTTGTAGTGGAATGATTTATATGCATGTTTAAGGTTCTACTAAAGGAAAACTGTCAGGAGGAAAAGCATCAGGAAAGAAATCACCTCCTGAATCCACAGTTCTGTCACCTACCCCAATAGTGCCACCACCACCAAAGCCAGGATCGGAAGACTGGGTCTACGTGAATGAACCAATTCCTGAGGTATGGCAGTTTAGATTCAAGCTAGTAGAACATATTCTTTTTATTGTCTACAGTAAGAGTCACGCCATTCCATACATGTTGATGAATATATTCATCAAAAAACTGAGATGATTTTTAAAGACTATTCATTGAGCCACATCTCATCCTTCCTCCACTCCCTCGTTACTGAGTCATGCTTTGGACCGCTGCTGAGTGCAGAAATCAGGGGAGCCAGTGGGTCCTGTGAGGACCCATTTTCTCCCCAGGGACAAGCAGAGATGCAGTTTCCTGGAAAAATGACTTCCCCAGTGCACATACCCAGCAAATTATAGCTCCTTTCCCATGTTCCCATACTAATCATAATGCTTCCAAATGAAGTTTAACCTCTGATGTTCAGAAATAGAAGAAATGTTTGGAAGCTAACTAAGCTAATAAAAGAACAGGTAGTTGTCTGGCCTGAGGACTTTACTAGTAAATGGGTGCATGAATTCAGGGGAGGAGATGCCCGAGGTAAGCCCTGGAAGTGCCATTCAGTTCTTTGTTCTCTAACAACTGCAAAGCCCAGTTGCCACCTGGATACATCTGATGGCCCTAATAGAGAAACCACCTTTGGAAAATCACAGATTGGCCTTTCCTTTAGCTGACCATCTGTGCCAGGCCTTTGAGACTCAGTCATGAATTGCAGTGATTGGGGTGTTGCTGTTTTTATTGAGGTTTCCTAGGGAAATGGCTTACCTCCCCAATTACAACATAAACTCCTTAATTAATTAATTCGTATCGAGGGGGAAATTACCACAGAAAACATGTGAAGAGGAGAACATGAAGTTATATAATTATGGATGTGTATAACTGATACCACTAAGCCAAACTATGCTACTTTTTAAAATAAACTGCGGGAAGGCAAATTTCTGCTCAACACAAGGAAGAATTTTCTAGTAACATGAGTTGTGCGACACTGTAGGGGGCTGCCTTAGAATGTCATGCTTGATGCATCAGTGAGGTCCACGTAGAGACTGAACAGTCTATTTCTAGTATTTGGCATTTCTGAATTGAAGAGAAAATTAAGTCAAATGACCCCATGTGTGATTCCCTGAGTAATTAAATGCACAGCCAATAAGAGAATAAGTAGTACAGTAAATTCATACTGAAGATCATCAGTTTTATTTCATTGTGATTATTTCTTGGTTCTTAATTATTTATTTGCATTATTCAAGATAACATAAAAGAAACTTCCAGTTTTCAAGGTGCACAGAACAAGATAAAATCTCTTTGATGAATTCAGAGAAATAACTCATCATCATTCTGACATGAACACTAGATGCTCTCTATACAAGGCAATTTTCCAACTTAGGTAAAATGTGACATCTGTGACAATGCAGTTCACTCATTCATTCATTCATGCCTTCAATCAATGTTTCTTTGGGCACCTACTGTCCCCCAGGGATGTGGAAATTATAGAGAAAACTGTACAGTCTCAAGTAAGACAACCATTGCTCCTGGCTCTATGAGACAGGTGGTCCCAAGAATTAGCTGGGTGAGGGGAAGGAAAAAGGAACAGGAAGTTTCACAGAGACTTTTCAAATATTAGCAGTTGCATCTTGACCTTCTTGCTTAGTGTTGCTCTTTTGACTCAATTATTCAGAATGTCACTTTGAAATGATGATCTGTATGCTTTTCCGTTTAACAGGACATGCCTTCATTTTTAGCACTTTACTGGGAACTAATAGAACGTTCCTATGCAAACTCCATCAAATTAGTCCTGAGGAACCTCCGAGAAGACCAGCACATTGTGCTTGCCTTCTTGTATGAGATTCGGTAAGGAAAGCTGCCAAAGTTCAAATGTTGTAGTTTGCAGGCATGACACGTAAGTACCAGCTCATTCTTTTCATGCCTGACAGAACAAGTTTCCAGCATTTTCTAAGGCGTCCAGATCAGAAGCAAGATTTTGTATCTCAATGGCAGGCTGATTTCAACTCTCTTCCTGAGGACTTATGGGATGATGAGGAAACAAAGGCGGAATTACACGAAAGAGTGAATGTAAGCTGCTGGGCCGCACGCTCTCTTGTACTGCAGACCCCTAGCCCATACCCTTCTTGCTTCCCTGAGGTGAGAGGATGAAGAGGGAAATGGCCTGAACACTCAGTCCCAGGAGCGGTTGTGGGAAGGCCCTCCAAGAAGGAGCAAGTTCAGTACAGAAGTGACTGAGTGAGCCATGCGGATATTTGGGGGATTAGTGCCTCAGTCAAGGGGAAAATCCAACGCAAAAACATGGGCATATGACTTGGTGTCTTTCAGACAGAATAGAAGCAACATAAATATTTGTTGAATGACGTGTATTAAGTCAACATTCTCTTTAGGGACATTTTTAAGACAGGAAAAGGATTTGAGTTTTATTACACTGAGGTAATAAACAGCGATGTTTCTTTCTGCCCAGGATTTACGAGACCGCCTGTGGGACATCTGTGATGCCCGGAAGGAGGAGGCCGAGCAGGAGCGGCTGGACATAATTAGCAATAGCTGGTTGCAGGACTCGACTGCAATCCTGATTAACAATTTCTTCTCGCTGATGCAGGTAAGAGCGCCGGTCAGGATGACCTCGACTCCGCCTGCCACAGCCATGTTCCTCATGTAAACAAGTCCTTTGGGAATGCAGAGGTCTGTTCAGGGCTCATTTCACTCAATGCACTCCGCCCGCCCGGAGCTCCAAGCCCAGGAAGTCAGCAGAAAGAAATCATTTTGGCTCCAGCCAAACAAGCACCAGAATTGGGAGCATCTCAAGCAACTACCCACCAACCAGCTCTGCTTCCAGACCACCTAGAGCTGTGGAGGGGCCAGCGGAGATGGTGTCACTGATGGCTGCTCCCTCGTTAGCCTCTCACAGCGGACACCCAAAGTGGCCAGCCGAAGCCCAGGAGAGCAGATCAGAAGGATGGGCCAGATCAGCCTCAGCGAGCATTTGATGCCAGAAGAAAAGGTTATGCTTGGGTTGGAAAAGCAGACCATTCATGAAAACAACCTGATTAACATATTTGCAGCCTGTTAAATAGCAAGCTGCACTGAACAAGAAGACAGACATTGGTTTTTTTATTCCCCCAGACTACTATCAGCAGTAAGGGAGCACAGACCACGTGTGGCTACCCAGCTCTGCCAAGGATAAGGGCATACAGTTTCTAAGACCTGGGGTGGGGTGAGGGGAACAAGTTAGTAGGCCGCCTGTGTTTTCTAATCAGCCTTGCCTAAAGGGGGCGGGGGGGGGGGTACACTATGTCCTATGCTCAAGACAGGAGGAAGTTGTGCCACTTGGACCAAGTCATCCTCTCAAAGGAACCGAGACCTAGAGGGCTCTCTTTCTTGATGCTTACATTTCAAAGAGATGGTTCCCAGTTCCTAGAAAAAGACAGCCTGGGTTCTAAAACCGACAAGGTTATCAAAAGATAGCTCAAAGGGACAGAGAAAGGATTTACACTGACAAGTTTTCTAAAGTAAATATACTGCCTGGCCAGCATGGCTCAGTGGTTGAGTATCAACCTATGAACCCAGAGGTCACAGTTCGATTCCTGATCAGGGCACATGCCAGGGTTGCGGGCTCGATCCCCAGTGGGGGACATGCAGGAAGCAGCCGATTGATGATTCTCTCTCATCATTGATGTTTCTCTCTCTCTCTCCCTCTCCCTTCCTCTCAGAAATCAATTAAAATATATTTAATAAGTAAATAAAGTAAATACACTAAGAACAAGGGAGGTTACGAGCCTAGGGTTAGGAAGAAGCCTGTCTGAAATTTAATCTCTCTAAGGGGAATAAGAAGACTGTTGTGGTCAAGCTGTGTCTACATGAGTGCTTTTTCCTAAGCGAATAGCAGTCAGGGCAGAGAATGGAAAGGGGGCCATTTCTCGGCTTCTGCTGATTCATTTACATGAGGACCTACTGCAAAAATGAGAATATTTAGCTGGTAATCGCCGGAGCTAAGATACAGTAGGTGTTCAATGAATGCTTTTTTAACAAATGTCTGTGAATGTCAGAACAAACCCCGGGTGCATGGCAGGTTGGACCACCGTTGGCCTGAAAAATCTGCAGAAACCTGTGAGGTTGGACCACAGTTGGCCTGGAACAACCTCACCAATGACTAACTCCGGGATCCTGATGGGACTTCCAAGGCATGGATTGTGCAAGAGATTAAAGTGATACAACCAAGCAGCTAAAGCCAGTCTGAGTAGCATTCCAGGACATGAGTTTGGGCAAGCAGAGACTGCATGTTGGAACAGGTGTGCCAAACGCTTATAGCAGAAATAGCTGAAATCCACTAGTGCAGGTAAAAGGAATAGAGAATTTTTGTGAATCATTCTCAATAGTCTGGGCAATACTTGGAAATGGTATAACTCTCTCAGAAATACCTAGGTTTAAGGCTCTCTCTCTCTCTCTCTCTCTCTCTCCCTTTCTGAGAAACTGAGTCTACAGCTAAAAGCAACTATGGGGAAAAGAGGATAGCCTGTAGCAGTGATGGCGAACCTACGACATGCATATTAGAGGTGACACGCGAACTCATTTTTTTGGTTGATTTTTCTTTGTTAAATGGCATTTAAATATATAAAATAAATATCAAAAATATAAGTCTTTGTTTTACTATGGTTGCAAATATCAAAAAATTTCTATATGTGACACGGCACCAGAGTTAAGTTAGGGTTTTTCAAAATGCTGACATGCCGAGCTCAAAAGGTTCGCCATCATTGGCCTATAGGATACATTTTCTACCAAATAAATTTTAGAGAATGCTATCCTAGATCATTTCTAAGAATCCTGTCACTAAGATTTTAGGACAATAGAAATAATAAGAAAGCATTATTTACTAGTTATCATGAAGGTGAGGGGAGTCTTGTTCAATTCTGCTTATATGAGAATCCTGGATATAGAATGGCATCTTACTTATGGTTAGCTATAGCTGTATCAAATTCTGCCCTCTTATATAAAATAACAAAACAATGTTAGCCTAGAGCATTGATACCAGCACTGTGCCAAATACCAATGGTGTAAAATAGGATCCACTAAACTTAGTCATAATGAAGGAGTTCAGTTCTCTAAGCTAAAGAGGAAATAATTTCCTGGTCTCTCAATTTATTTACCAAATAATGTAATGCTATAGTTTAATGATTAACGATTTTTATAACCTCACAACACATTTCTTCACTTCCCCAACATTATTTGCCAATACTCATTTTGTACATGGGTTGACCTTTGCATGCTGCTCACTGCCGGGGGTTTTGTGGGGGTTCACATGAGTATAGTTTACAAGACTCATTTTCTCACCACTGTTTCGGCAAATCTAAGCACGACAGGTACAAACACTTACTTCCAAACTGTGAAATTTAGTCCATATGTGGATATTTTAAAACCCAATTGGGTTTCTTGGCAAGGAAAATGTTTCGTTTTCCTAATCATTTCAAAATGCTAGTTTGAAGTTACTTAAATATATATTTATGTTGAAAATCCAAGAGTAATTCAAGTGTGTCCATAATTTAAAACAACATATGAATGGTAATTCTATTGTACAACATAGATTCGAATGAACCAAATGAATTTCTTCTTCTTTCATTGTTTTAGCTAGAAAAGTTTGCTACTGCAGAGGACAGCTTTCCAGAAGCAATTCGGCTTAGCTCTGGGGGATGAAAACAAACTTATTGAAACCGTTCTTGTCTTTTGTTATAGACGACAATGCAGAGCAGACATGCATTTGTCCCAAACTGAATACGATTGTACAAGACAGTCTCTTGAAAGTTGTTGTCTTATGAAATAACTGACCACATTAATTGCTTGGTAACTATGGGGATCCCTTCAGGAACACCCTCGGGTCAGTTGCAGCTAAGGGCTTTGAACACTAGGCCGGCTCCATTCCTTTTAGGATAGAGGCCTTCTGTAATGCACTGGCTATATGGAGTACATCTGCATGAGAGCTTCAGAAGTTAAACCCTCAGGTACCTGTTTAAGGAGCCCCACTAACAAAAGCAAAGTCTGGGAGGCCGTGTTTACACAACCAAAGAGAAGCACAGACGCGCCAACAAGACTGACACCTAATGGCAGCAAAGGTGGGAAAACTCACGTGTGTCTTGCTGCAAAGGGAAATGACCTGGCTGGCAGGGAGCCGCTGGTGAATAACTGATGCTCGTCTCGTCACCAGCTCCTCTGTGCTTCTCCATTCCCCTCAAGGCACCTACTGGCGAAGCCAGCAGAGGGTGTGGCTGGGAGCATGGAGGAGTGACCTTACCCTACAGATTGAGCAAGGATGGACCTGTGACAAGAGAACTGCCATCATCACTTACTTTCCTGATTATCCTCTTTCCACAACTAGAGGACCAAGCCTAGTCTTATTTTGTATTTCAGTTGTTTGTATTTGTATTTTACATTTATATTTATAATAGTTTTAGTATCTCTCAAATCAACTAACATGTGACCTATGACAGAAGACACTCAAAATGTTTATTAATGTATTGATTGCTTGAATACAGGACACAGGAAGAATTCTTAATATCAAAATAATGAATAATATACACTACACTACATCAGACATCATGCAGTCTTTTGTCACAATATTAAGAGGCATAGAAATATTCTTTTTTTTTTAGTGGACTATCTATAATAATAAAAGCATAATATGCTAATTAGACCGGACATCCTTCCGGATGACCTTCCGAATGAAGCTGGGGCTGTGAGAGAAGCCCAGGTCCCAGGTACCAGCCAGCAGCTGGAGGGAACCCGGGTCCTGGGTGCCAGCCAGCAACTGGAGGGAAATCCAGGTCCCGGGTGCCAGAGGGAAGCTGGTGCCGGCAGCCAGGGGAAGGAAGGTCTACTCTTGCACAAATTTCGTGCATCGGGCCTCTAGTACTCAGTAAGCACAGAAAATGCAAAGTCACCAGTTTTCTTCAACTTTTATGAAATTTTACACATACACGTGTAGCCAGTTCTCTTTCTTAATTTCCAGAAAATTGATTTCAACCTAAATGCTTTATTTTTGTTGTTGTTGTTTTATTTTTTATTTTTATTTTTTTAATTATTTTATTGCTTAAAGTATTACAAAGAGTATTACATATGTCTCCTTTTTCCCCTGCCCTTGCTCACAGAGCTTATATAGAAAGTATGCACAGATCAGCTTGGGTTTTTTTGTGGGGGGGCGGTATTGACATTATATTTGCTATTAAAGGCAGAACTGAACCGTTTTCAAGATACAAGGAGACTCCTTCAAGATTATTACAAGGGAATGGAAGGCAAAATCCCAATAGAAGACAATAAGAAATTTACTCGCCTCCCATTGGTCCAACTGGATAATAGAGAGATTTTGGAAAGCCAATTGAGGTAAGACAGATTATTATGTCACACTGTAATTTGTCTGAACATAACACTTTAATACTTTAAATCAAATACCACTTATAAAAACGACTCTCCTGTATCTGTAAATCCAAAATCCAAAAAAGCTCTAAAAACTGAACATTTTTTTCTAACTTCAACTTAGGACTATTGATATGCATTATTTATCCAACTAATGGTGAATATTTACTCATTTTTGCTGCAGAGGTAGCGTGTGTTTTGTTAGGGAATGTTTCCACAGACTCTGCTATGAATAATAGAAATGATATAGTGTGTATGAACTCTGAATTCTGAAAACAAAGGGTTTCTAGTAAGGGATTGTGAGCCTCTGCCACTTCATCGAAATCTCGGGCTGTTTTGTGTGTATGTGTGTATGTATCATATTATGTACATGAAAATGGAAGGGGTTATGAGTCTTCTTTTACAGGTGAGAAAATTGAGAAATAGTAAAGACCCAGTCATCTGTGATTATGATGATAATAAAAGACATTAATGGTCTAACATCAGATTCCTGCCAGTAAGAAAACTAAGTTAGTGGTAAGGGTGGGACAAAAATTATATTTTCAGCCAAACACTTGTGTGAAATACAAAAGTTTTATAAAAAATATTTTATAGACCCAATAGGTGGGGACCGGGAGGGGCAAGATCCCAAACCCTGAGAAGCTATGAACAGACAGCAAAATGTCTTTAAGCCCTAGCCGGTTTGGCTCAGTGGATAGGGCAACGGCTTGCAGACCTAAGGGTCCCAGGTTCGATTCCGGTCAAAGGCACATACCTTCATTGCAGGCTTCTCCCCAGCCAGGGCCCTGGTCAGGGTGTGTGCATGAGGCAACTAATCGATGTGTTTCTCTCACATCAATATTTCTCTCTGTCTTTCCGTCTCTCTTCCACACTCTCTAAAAATCAATGGGAAGATGTCCTCAGGCGGGGATTAGCAACACAGAAACAACAAGGCCAGCTAATTGTTTGCTGGGGCTCACAATCCGCCGTCTGCATCACTGCTCTGGCCCCCGGCAGCTGGACTGCCAAACCCAATGCGTGTTCTCCTTTCGCTCCTGACTCCCCTCCACAGCCTCAGCAGAGGCACCCTCGGAGCGCCTCTCTCCCCACCCCTTGCCCAGGCCGAAAGCTCTGCTCGCTCTGTCACCCAGAGGACCCCAGGCCCAGCGAGCATCCTGCCCGAGGCTCTCTCCTGCTGCTGCTGGTCTTGGAGATCCCGGGACCCTGAGGTGATGGACTGTTCCCCTGCGGCTCTGAACGTGCTACATGGAAGCCATAGGGCTGCCGGCAGGGAGAGGGAGATGTAGCTCCGTGTTCCCACATCACTTTGCAGAACAGGAGACAGCCTTGGCCACGCTAGTGCAAGAGTGGGGAGGCTGCCCTGACCGGTTTGGCTCAGTGGATAGAGCGTCGGCCTGCGGACTGAAGGGTCCCAGGTTCGATTCCGGTCAAGGGCATGTACCTTGGTTGCATGCACATTCTTAGTAAGGGGTGTGCAGGAGGCAGCTGATCAATGTTTCTCTCTCATCGATGTTTCTAACTCTCTATCCTTCTCCCTTCCTCTCTGTAAAAAATCAATTTTTTAAAAAAAGCTGTTCAACGTAAAAAAAGGAAAAAAAAAAGAGTGGGGAGGCTGCTGGAACTCCTCCCCACTCACCGCTGGAACGTGGCTGCCCCCTGGAACCCCTTGCAGACCCACCGCCCCTGCCACACCCCGCTTTCTAACCGTCCGCTCAGAAAGCCAGATGCGAGTCAGCTGAAAGACGCGAGGCCCGCTCCACATGGTTCGCTGTTTCCTGTGGGTGACTTGCTCCTGGTTGGAAGTGGATGCCCCAGATAAATTTCAAAGTTGCATTTCATTGCCATCGTTTAATCCCCTCCTCGCAGTTACTAAGAACACACCCTGAAAATTACGTCTTGTCATTGTTTGCTTCCAGTTTCCTGTTTTCCTTTTCAAGACGTCCTAGACCACAAAGATGTGAATGCAGTCTTTTGTCGTCTTTTCTGTATTTAAAGAGCTCTACCAGGAAAACTTTGAAAGTGGAGATGTAAAGCAAGACAACAAAATTCACAGAGTAACATGGGAATGGAAAATAAAACTCTGTTAAAGTCTTTATATTTTTTGTTTGTTTTCCAAAGAATTCCTCTAGTTTCTCGAGTATCCATTTCTACGGACGTACCTGTATCCAAACCAAAAGCAAAAGCCATACTGAAGGGCAAGACTGATTACTCGCTAGAGAAAGTAGAGTTCAACTTCGAGACAGATGAGAAGTTGATAATGGACACCTGGCAGCAGGCTTCCTTAGCAATATCCCACATGGTAAGCTGTGCTTGTTTACATATTTCAGTAATACCCACTCATTAAATGCTAATATTGGTCGTTATGAATAAAAAATTTACACCATGTTTGCAAGCATTGTATACAATATCTCCACTTTTTCTTCTGAAAGAAATATAAAATGAAACAATTAAAACAGCAAATATATATGCTCAAAAAAGGAATGAACCAACATTTAGGTTATTTTTTATGCTGGGCCAGGCAGGGTTCCAAGTACAGGGCCAACCAGAAGTGTCAATGAAGTGGGTCAAGTGGGAGGCAATAGGGAAGGGTGGGACTATGGCCAAGTGGAAATCACACCTTTGTCTCAAGAGGCATGGGCTACTCGGTCCGAACCAACTTTCCATTGAAGGGTGAAGCCCAGTATGACCAGATTTTCAATTTTACAAGAAAAGTTAGAAATTCATATTTTTATATGACACCTACTGATGTTAACATGTTAGAAATTAAGTCAAATTTTTAAAGATTTACAGAGACAAGCGAACTACACATCTGCCCGTTAGGCCCCTAGTTTATAACCTCTGCTAGGCATTTTATACAAGCAACCTATGGGGTAAGTATCACTATCCTCTTTACATTGAAAAACCAAGGTCTAGTGAGATTAAGAAACTTGCCCAAGGTCACTCATCAGGTAAGTGTCAAAATGAGATTTGATTCTGGGTCTGTATGACATCAGAGTTCATGTCCTCTTCTCCTTCCCTGGGAGGTAAAGTAATGATAGTCCTGCCTGCACTGAGCCTGCACCAAATCAAAGGAAGAGCGTACAGGTCACTGTAATCTAGTTCGAGGCTGCGACCCCTACAGAAGGCACACATGGAGTTTAACTCGGGCGACATTGTTTCCTCATCCTCCAGCCCTGGGCCCACCGATGCAGTTTCCATCTTTGTTCTGTGCCAGGCCTTCTCCGATTTTCCCTGAACTAGCCCATTCCAACAGAAAGCAGTGCCAACTTTCCAAAAGATTTTGTGGAAGTGGTAGAAGAGGATCTTGCATGACAGTCTCTCTTGGCGAGCGATCAGTGCTTCCGGTTGGGCATTTTCTGAGTCCCTCCTGGCCAGTCTGCCTCCTGGGTTCTCTTCTCTGGCCCTTGTCCCACAGCAGCCTCAGTGTCACCCTTCTGTCCCCTGCCCCTCTCTTTTGTTCTCCTACTTGTTTCCTGCCTCTCAAAGGGGGTTGTAAACTCCTGCCATTGTCTTGCTTCTTTTTAAAACCACTCAGTGTGCGTTTTGACACACATAAGAAAGGTACATGAACTATAATTGCATGTCCAGATTACATACTCCTGGGACCCCCAATGGGGAGAAAGGAGAAGATCTACACCCGCCAAGTCCTTCATGTGCCCCTTCCCAGCCCTCACCCCTTCATCCCTGCAAACAGGAGCCTCCGTCCTGCCTGCTTCGCAATCATTTCCTTGATTTTCTTTTATTCCCCAAGTCTATACCTCTAAGCAGCATAGTTTAGCTTTGCTTGCTTTTGAGCTTTAAATAAATGGACTCCTACCTCCTGCCTCTTTGTGTCTTCTTTTGCTCAGAAGTATTTGTGATAGTCCATCCGGTTGAGCGTAGCTGCGTTCTGTTCAGCGCCGTCACTGTATAGCACTGCATTATACAAGTAGGTCACAGTTTAACCAGGTACACATGTGGGCTCCCTTTTGGATGTCATTGTGGCTACTGCTGCTGTGAACATTCTTGACCTTGTCCCCTAATGTGCACGTGCACCCATCATTGTGAGGCATGTGTCTGGGCATATATGCTATCTTCCATGTCAGTGGTATACATAGTGCTTCCGCTTTCAGAGGCAATGCTAGCGCCTTTCCCCATTTCCTGCAGTATCATCCTTGCCACCACATATCACACATTATGTCAACTGCATTGCTCTATCTGCCTATCCTTGTACCCAAACCACACGATATTGTACACTGATTTGTTATCTGGATGAGCAAATCTCCCCACCTTGCCATCATTAGTCAAGAGCATTTTGGCTTTGCTAGGCTTTCTGCCTTTCCATACAAGTTTTCACATCAGCTTGTCAAGAGTTAGGAAAATGTTGGCTGTAGCTATTTTTTCATAGTACTTATCAAGCTATGAAACTTTTTCATTTCTAGCTTACTATGAAGGTTTTTAAATGAGTTGTGCTAGTTAATGGTTTTGCTGCATCTATCGAGATTATCATGTGACTTTTTTCTCCATTTTATGCTAATGTGAAATATGTTGATCAATTTTATAATGTTAAACTGACATCACATCCCTGGAATAAGTTCAGCATTGTAATGAAGCCTCGCCCTTCTTGCACATTGCTGAATTTGTCTTCCTAATAACCTGTTTTGGATTTTTAAATTTTTGAACAAGTAATTTCAGCATCCAGATAATACTAGCCTCATAAGTTGAGCTGGGATATAGCTTTTTTTAAGATTTTTGTGGAAGTTAGAATTTTTTCTTCTTGAAATGTTTGGTAGCATTTGCCAATAAGACACCTAGGCTTATAGGAAGTTTGTAGAAAGTTTGTATGAAGAGTTTCTGTTGCTCCCGCCACACAGGGATCCATTTTCTTAAATAGATATAGGGTAATTCTATTTTTGCATCTTCTTGGGAAAAAACATGGGTTGGTTTTGGTAAGTTTTGTGTTGCTAGAAATTTTTCCATTTCTACATTTTCAAAAGTATTAGCATGAAGTTCTTTAAAATATATTTTTATGTTTGTGTTACTATAACACAGTATATTATCTATTTGATAATATCTTTGTGCCTTCCCCCTTCCTTGATCAGCTTACCCAGAACTTTATCAATTATATCAGTCTTTTCAAAGAACTAACTTCCAACTTCATTAATTCATTTTACTTTGTGTTTTTTTCCCTTAACTTTATTTTTTTCCTCATTATTTTTGGGGGGATTATTCTCCCATTCAAACCCTCTAGCAAACTGACTAGACAGCGCACCCTATATTTTCAATGGGCATTAACCATTTCAATGCCTTGGCTAACGCCATTTCTCTTTCCTAAACTTTGTTTTTCCTTCCTTTTTTCACATGAATTCTACACTTTCTTTAAGTCTTCAGCACTAGTTTATACCTTGATTCCTGACCAGTTGGTTGCCTGTTTTCGGAAGTCCTAGTCTTCTATGACCTGTGCTCTTCCAATTCTTTTAACAGTTATTGCCTCTCCCATTCATTTGGCTCTTATTATCTAGATCAGTGATGGCGAACCTATGACACGCGTGTCAGAGGTGACACGCGAACTCATTTTTTTGGGTTGATTTTTCTTTGTTAAATGGCATTTAAATATATAAAATAAATATCAAAAATATAAGTCTTTGTTTTACTATGGTTGCAAATATCAAAAAATTTCTATATGTGACCCGGCACCAGAGTTAAGTTAGGGTTTTTTAAAATGCTGACATGCGGAGCTCAAAAGGTTCGCCATCACTGATCTAGATCATTGTTTTAATTTTTATTTTTTTATTTTCTTGAATACTAACTAGATTCTAAAACTGTTATATAGCCTACACCTAGATAATGCCCACATCTAACATGGCACTAAGCCCTAACTGCTGCTGTTTCCATACCGATAACGCTGATGTGAATATTAGTGATGCTTCAATAACAGTGGTGATCACCACAAAAACCACAATAGCTATCAAGCACCAGAAAGTAGGAAACCAGAGCTAGAGCTAGGAGTTCTAGGAAAAAAATTATGAATTATTATTTTTATTGCTAATGGAGCTGCATAAACATAATTTGCAAGTCTTGTGAGTCCCATTAAAGTTACCTGGGTTTGCTTTAGCTTTTTCTGTCCTACCTAATCAGTTTTTGTTAACCCGTATTTATAAATCTTTCTCTCAGAAGTTTATTGTTTTCTATAAACTTCGTCTATGTTGATTTTTTATGCGTGCAAAAAAAATAAAATAAAATAAAAAATAAAGTTACCTGGGGGAAATGACATTTTAAAATATGACACGTAGACATTTTACATTTGTAAAACACTGTTAGAAAGAGAATATGCTACAGCACAAAGAGCACTGGCTACCCGTCTTGATGAAGCCATGTGATTTTAGGAAAGTCTGAGCCTTCTATTCCTTCAATGTATAACATGGAAGACATTCTACCTACCTTCTCTTTCTCGGATGGTTGAAAAGATTTCATGAAATCATGTATATAGAAGTGTTTTGGAAATTTTAAGTGTAACAGATCATTTTGTTAAGATATTCAAAATCGGACTACTTTCCTTGTGGAGCTTTAAAAAACACACAGAAAGCACAGGAGAAAGGGTTGTTTGCGGATTAATATTATTCATAATTATTTCGAATCCTGCTTTTATGTTTCTAAGAGGCATGTATGACTTTGATGTCACATGACCTTAAGGCGATTGTGAGTTCCTCAAGGAAAGGAGAGGTTTGCTGAGATGAAGAGAAACTGAGAGTTTCCTGAGTCGAGGAAGCTAAGAAGCAGCAGTGAGGTGAGCCTGCAGGACAGGCCCTCCTCACAAGCACTGCACCTTCCTGGGCGCCGTCTGGTCTTCAAGTAGAATGAAGCTCAGGATTCAAGTGTCCAGGAGCCCAGTCTATACAGGGCATGTGCTTCCCAAAACTACTTGGAGAGCATGAAAAGTTCTTACCCATTTTCTGCATAAAACAAAGATATGCATAAAATACATAGACAGATACAATCTCTCCTGCAGTATTAAAACGTCATGGAGGGAGGGGTGTGATGGGAAAACTATTTCTAAAAATCCAAAGGGAGTAGCCCTGGCCAGTGTGGCTCGGAGATGAGACAGTTCCAGGTGATTCAGTTAACTGTTGCAGGGAAAGCAATACCAGCTGAGATTAGTGCCCTGAAACGAGAACACTGTAACACGGGCTTTCTTCCATGCAGCAGTCTTACCAGGAGCTGTTCGTTTAGCATGCTGTGCTAATTTTTAGGAAAACTTCCTTCTAATTAGCAGGTATGCAATGATTTCAAAGAAACAAGTCCTATTTAATGCCCACGATGCGAAGGCATTATTTCCAGAGTTTCTTCAGCCTTATAAACTAGACTGCTGAATAGATTGTGAATTATGTGTTTGTTTTTTTGGTTTTGTGTGTGTGTGTGTGTTATTGTTGTTGTTTTTTGAGAAAGACCCAAAGGTCTTTGAAAGACATGAGTAGAAAAATTAAGATGATGATAATTACCATCATCATCATCACCACCAACACAAGGTTGTTGACAAGGGAGAAAAATCCAATTTTAAAGGAAATTGCTAACTTGGTGCTTTGCAAGAACAGATTCAAAAAATGAATTGCTTGCAATTTAGGGTGGAATGTTAACAAGCCTGCGTTCAGCTTTTACCAAGAATTTGGAAGTACAGTATATATCATGAAGTCCATTTTTATCAAAAGAACATCTGATTTAAAAACATACCTGCTTGCTCTTTGAAACCTTTCTGTATCCCTCCAAAGTTCTGCTGATACTGAAGAAGGTATGGGTGTATTCTGTGGAATATGATTATCTTAAAAGAAATTCCATCAACTAACAAGCATTTTCTGGCCACCCCTTCTGAGCATAGCACAGTGCCGTAGGGAGAATGCCAAGAAGTAGGACTGGCCCAGCTCTCAGGAGCCTCCCAGCCCCTGTGGAGGGTGGGGTGACACTTCGTGCTCATGGAACAGCTGGGGACAGTTATATGCCAAGCCACAGGGTATGGAGTGCAGCAGGGATTTGGAGAAGGCCGGAATAGACTGGTCTATCTGGCCCCCATGACTAAGCTTCTTTGAGGACAGAGATTGTGCCTTATCTCTCTATTCACCTCCATCCAACTTCTTCTTTCTCCTTCTGGCCCCTCACCCAATAACCCCCACCACCCACCCGCAGCAACGATGTCAGGTTTGGACACGCTAAGCACTTTAGTAAACGAATGAATTCCCGTGGGCCGCCATTTCCTCACCAGTTGCCTTCTTAAGATTTTAAAGTTGAATCACATGTGGCTCCTGCCTCCAGGGTGTCTTTCCTCAGCTCTCATTTCTCAGGGTGACACCCAGAAATGCCCTTCACCTCTCCAGGGCCCCTTGGACTCCTTTAAAAAGGTCCAATCTTCCTAACTGTAGGCACAGCCCCAGCTGTCCAAGCCTCGAGTCAAGCTTTTCTCGCTGCCTGAAGCACAGCACCAGCCTGAGAGGAAAGGTGAGGCGGGTCCTGGCAGCGCCCGGCCCTCCCCATTCATCAGCCAGTGTGGGGTGGCCACACAACAAATCTCTCAAAGCCAGATACGTGTGAGAATGAAAGGAGAGGTTTGCTGAGATGAAGAGAAACTGAGTTTCCTGTGTCGAGGAAGCTAAGAAGCAGCAGTGAGGTGAGCCTGTAGGACAGGCCCTCCTCACAAACACCGCACCTTCCTGGGCGACGTCTGGTCTTCGAGTAGAATGGAACTCAGGATTCAGGTGTCCAGGAGCCTAATACATACAGAGCATGTGCTTCCCAAAACTACTTGGGGAGCATGAAAAGTTCTAACCCATTTTATGCGTAAAACAAAGATATGCATAAAATACATAGACAGATACAATCTCTCCTGCAGTATTAAAATATCATGGGGGGGGGGGGTGTGATGGGAAAACTATTTTTAAAAATCCAAAGGGAGTAGCCCTGGCCAGTGTGGCTCAGTTGGTTGGGCACCATCGGTTGCTGGTTCAATTCCCAGTCAGGATACATGCCCAGGGTTGCAGGCTCAATTGCCAGTAGGAGGCGTGCAGGAGGCAGCCAAATGATGATTTAACTTCACATTGATGTTTCTCTCTCTCTCTCTCTCTCTCTCTCTCTCTCTCTCTCTCTCTCACCTCTCTCTCTCTCTCTCCCTTTCCCTTCCTCTCTCTATAAAAGTCAATTTAAAAATCTTAAAAAAAAAATTCCAAAGGGGGTCAATAATAATAATAAAATGTATATTGAGAGACCCTGATATAGGGGAATGCCCCTGATTGAAGGCCAAGAAATACTAGGAACTTGGGAGGACAGGGGTAGGTAGGTCCATAGGGTCTGAGATTTTTTTCAAAGGGGACTTTTGCATAACCAGGGAGCTGTCGTGGTCTGGAGGTGGCAATGAGGAGACGTAGGACGCACCCCCTGCAGGCAGGGCTTGGGAAGGTGAGCGGCCTCCACAGGCCTCAGGGAGCTGCCTCTGGGGACCTGGCCAGGTTTCCATCCATTAGAAGGCCGCAGTGCGCGCTGGAAAGCCTGAGCACAGGCCATGGTGGTTTGTGGTGGCTTCAGTGGAACCACCTGAGGACTACAGCTAAAAGGTTCCCATATTTCACAATGTTGCCCTCACTGAAATATTGCTCTTTACAACCAGGTGGCTGCGGAAATTCATCAGAGGCTCCTGGACGAGGAGAAAGAAAACCAGCCAGCAGAAACCAAAGAAAAATCTCCTCAGACGAACGCTAACAAAAAAGCCAAAAAGGAACCGCCGAAGAGAAAACTTTCATTAAAAAAAGAGAAAGGTATTCATGGTTTGGGCATCCAGAACTGTGGCTGCTTAAGCCTCACATGGCGGAAACCCAGCATTTCACCACGCACACTAGCCTCTAAGCCGCTGAATGAGGTCCATTAGGTTTAACTTAGAGACCCAGGCTCCTGGGAACTGAGGTTCTGGTTGGTAAATCATACTGAGTGCCAGTCCTACCTAACTTGTTTATCCAAGCAGCCATGCATATCCAGGGTAGAATTAACCTCAGCGGCCTTTTTGAACATGCTAGCAGAACTCCAAGATGACACTCTGATCTGAAAAGTGTGTGCCAAGCGGCTGACAGTCACTGCAGTAACCAAGAGAAAGTGAAAAGCTAATTCTGTGTATGTGCCTTTAAGGTTTAATTCAGGTTTCAGGTTTTTTTCAAGCAAGTCCTTCTCTCCTCCAGGCCTCCTGGAGAGTCAAGAGGAAAGAAAACTCGGGTCGCCCCTTAACCTTGGGGATGAGCCCTGCCACAGCATTACCTCCCGCTCTGAATGCTTCCTCGTGTACACTTCTGCAGGGACGTGGGGCAAGAGAGGAGGAGATGGACGCACATGCACACAGTCACTCCACTCAGCAGTTGCTCATAATGTGCGTTAGGCACCCGTTGTGTGAAACACACTCCGATGGGTGCTGGGGACACAACAGTGAATTCTAGAGAAACCAGAGCATGGCCCCTCGCCCCATGGTACTGGAGTCTAGCAGCAGAGATGGGCATTTGGCATCTCATTGTTCTTCGGGAGGGGAGGTACAAGGTCACCCCACTCCATCTGAGGGGCAGGGAAACACTTCCCAATGGAGTCCATTTAAGCAGCCATGGGCGGGAGGGAGGGGTGTGGGTGGTGGCACTTGACACAAATGGAAGGATAGCACCACGATAAAGGACACACCAGTTCATCTCAGATGATGAAAAGAGAAGATATAAGCAACACTTGCAGGAAATGCTTCAAATTACTCTCATGGAATCACTAGTCACATCCCGTCTCTTCATTTCACAGATGATAAAACAGAGACGCAGATGAAGCAGCTCTCTTTCACCGGTAACTTATACATAGATCCACTGTTGTTATCAATACATCTTATTAGAATTTCTTTGTTTACACTTATGTCTTCTTCAAAAGATTTAAACCCCTTGCGGGAGGTCCTCCAGGAACTACTTACTGAACTTAGTAGAATTATGTAAACTGGGCCCACAACTAAGAATCACACTGTCAAATTCTCCCATACTGACAAACTCTCAGGTTCTAATGTTCTTATGCAATCACTGAAGTACTTGTAGTTAAGTGACAGTTGCAAGGTAATTAAGTAAACTACAGATTCTTGACCACCAGCTACCTTTCAGCCATATGATCCTCTGGTCTTTTCTTGATGAAGACCAAGGAAACACTGGCTAATGTAAGTAACCCTTATAGAGCTGTTCTTCTACAGGCGGCTAATGGCAACCACGGTGCACTGAGGTTTGCCAATTTCTGTCCCCATACTCTGAATTGCAACCTCTTTGGAGTTGGTCTGTAACCATGTCTGTACTTGCTGCACAATCTCATTTTCCCACAATGCCACACAAACAGGGCATTTTTATCTGTGTCCAGCCCAGATGCCACATGGAGAGTTCTCAGGGAGATACTATCAATATTTCACACTCACACTCCCAAGACCAGGGTTTTCTCCTTTCTAAGTCACAGCAGCGGTTCTCAACCTGTGGGTCGCGACCACTGGAAAACACTAGCATATCAGATATTTACATGACGATTCATAACAGTAGCAAAATTACAGTTATGAAGTAGCAACGAAAATAATTTTATGGTTGGGGGTCACCACAACATGAGGAACTGTATTAGAGGGTCGTGGCATGAGGAGGTTGAGAACCACTGCTAGAGGGTTATAGCTCTACACATTTTACTTTATACTCATTTTGTCCAAGTACCATGTGTGCACACTTGTCTATTGTTAGCTTACTGGGTTTCATTGGCCTCTCAGGCAAATCACCACCTACAGCAGAGGCCACTCCGGTAGCGCTGTCCCCAGAGGATATGCTCGAAATGGAAAAGAAGAATGAACTGAGAGTCAAAATAAAGGAGGAGCATATTGCTGCCCTGCAATTTGAAGGTAACAATTAGAAAGAACTAAGATGATCCTTTTCAGTAGAAAATAGACCAGTAGGCAAGTAGCCCACCGCCAGCTCAAACTGTGTCTTCAGGGACACAAAGCAAACTGAAAAGCACAGCATTCAGTTGGTTGTTTTCATGTGACCATAGGAAGACCAGATTTGACTGTTGTATAATTGTCTGCTAGGATCTCAAAGAACAACAACAACAATGAGACCTTGGGATGGGGTTGGAGAGTAGCAATAATGTATAATCTCAAAGAATAGAAACACAGAATATTCTAGAGTTGGTGTGATTTTACAGATGGGAAGAAGGCTAGGTAGATGGCTTGGTATTCTAGTAAGAATTACTTAGGCATCTCATTAGAAAAATAAAACCTACCCAAAGTTGAACAGGCCCTGAAAGTGAATTATTGGGACCAAAGCCCATAGGAGAGCAAGTCGTGGATCAATAATGTCCAAGGACCTCCTCTCTGAATAGCAATGACTCTACAAGACAGTCTCCTCTGGGCTCCTTGAGTTGTCTTATAATGCATTGCTAAGTGGGACTTGAAAAGATCAGGAAAATGAGCAAAAGTATTCTAATTGGAAAGGAACTATGGTAAATATAGTAGTTGACAAAATAATAACATTACATTATTAGGTCAGCTAGGACACATTAACTGCTCAATGACCATTAACTATTACTGATGTTTTCCATCCCTTGCTTCTCTCCTCTTCTCCTTTCCCCCCATCCCACTACCATCTGCTTCCATAATTCCAAGACCTTCCCAGCAGGTGAATTGAACACAGGAAGTAAGTTGAACATGGAAAGATCTGTGGGGTCAGGAAAGGCAGGACACATCTTCTCTCCCACTGCCCATCTCCACCTCTGCTTTCAGTAAAGTCTACTTCACCTTTCAGTTCATTCATACATGAGCCCTGCTGTGGTTAATTCGCTTGTTCACACAATAAATGTCTATTGGGTTTCCACGATATGCCAGCCCTATAACAGCTGCTGGGAACACATTCGTATATACACAAACACCAAACTAACAAAATTAAAGCCCAATATGTTGTGATATTGAAAGTTGGTTTACAGGACAAAGGGAGCATTGGGGGCGGGGGGAGGAAAGTCAAGAAAGACTTCCTAGCAGGTGAATTAATGCTTGAGCTGAACTGGTAGACTGTGGAGAAGTTTGCTCTGGGACCCATGAACTTGACCCTAGTTTTCCCAGTGCTGAGAAAGACAATGGTACTGTCATCCCAAATCAATAGGCTCACCCTTTAGAAATTAGGACATTATCTATTTGTGTTTTTCCATTCTGCTTTGTCGAAGAGTATATTATTCTGAGGTGTAATAAATGTAAAGCTCTACAGTTTGGGTTTAAATAAACTGTCAAGTGACTCTACCACATCTGCTTTTCAATGAGATATTCAATGAGGTATTATCCATATTTTTAGATTACATGTGTGTCTAAAGTTTCACAAATCGAAGCATGATTGGTTTAAAATTTGACTTCAGTTCATCAGAATATGCATGTACAAATAATACATTAAAAAAATCCTTATTTCTCTTTTTAAATAGAGATAGCCACCCAGTTCCGACTTGAGCTAATAAAGATTAAAGCATTGGCTCACCTTGAAGATCTAGTAACAAAGGTCGTTGACGTATATAAACTCCTGGAAAAGTGGCTTGGTGAGAGGTACTTGCGTGAAATGGCCAGGTAAAGTACTGCGGGACTCTTTAAAAATACACTTTGGTAACTTCTGAAGACCAAAATTGACAAGAATTTAAGATGTATACAAATGCAAATTACATTTACAAATAGAAATTTTGACCTTTTAGACAATCACAGTATCTTTGTATTGACTCTTTTTTTCAAATGGTAAATCACATTTCAAAGGGTTGTATTGCAATATCCAGTCTTGCACATAATTTAAGAGCCTGGCTTTCCCACTACTCAATGAGGACCTTAGTTTACAAGGTAAGAGTATAGGTAATCTTTAGATATCTTTCAGAAGTAAGGTAATGTTTCATATCTTTCTAATGCCAGGCTTATTACTAGTCAGGGCCAATTAATGGAAGGCTGAGAAGTCATGACATGTTTTACTCATCATGCTGGTCCCCTGGGAAGGGTAATGCTATGCTCTGCTTTTCTGTTGGGTTCCAAAGGCTTTCCAGACTCTCGCTGCTCGTGAGGGGCAGTGAGTCTCATCCTCTTAATTCTCCCCTAAAAAGGAGTAAAGTACCATCTGGGCAGCGTGAAAATAGCCCTCAGGAGACCTGGGCTCCCACTTTGTCCACAAATGAGCAGCGTGCCTAATCGCTGTAGGGCCCGCTTCATCTGTAAAAGGAAGCACTCCAACTGGAGTATTTCCCAGGCTCCTACTAGATATAGATTCTGATACACGAGAGTTGGCAGCAAACATTAACTAAACATTTGGAAGTTGCTACATACATATGGCAAGTCCTGGATACAGATGGCAAGTACTCTCAGAGGCAAAAGAGGTGGTTGTTATGGCTTGTTTTCTCCAATCCTTGTCTCATAATGAAAGTTCTGTTGTAAAATATTTATCCCAGCTGTTTATATCTGTTGCTTCATGGTAACACACACACACACACACTCACACACACACTCACACACACACTCACACACTCACACACTCACACTCACACTCACACACACTCACACACACACACTCACACACACACACACTCACACTCACACACTCACACTCACACTCACACACACTCACACACACACACTCACACACACACACTCACACACTCACACACTCACACTCACACACTCACACACTCACACACACACACTCACACACTCACACACTCACACTCACACACTCACACACTCACACTCACACACTCACACACTCACTCCATTGGTAACCTTGCTGTAGTAATGCTTACAATGATTTCACTGAACAGCCGAGTCAGTTACTCATCAGCATCTCAGAGCACTGATGCTCGGGTCTGTGCTCTGCCTGTCCTTTAGCAATGAAAGCCCATCATCTTCATTCTGAGGAGTCAGAGCTCTCACCCATGAGCCATCACACGTAAATGCTCTTTATTTTTATCAGATCTACTCATATTTCTCAGGTGCATATTATATATCTGCATATCTCTGATCTCTGAATGTGGCCACAAGAAGTTCAAACGTAGGGCTGCTCAGCTGAGCTTTCTATTTTGGTTATTGCAAAAATCCTTCAGAGATTATAAATAAAATAGAGCTTTCAGAATCCTTGGAACTTCAAATCCCACTTTTCATTTTTCTAGCATTTTCCCCTCCCATTCTTGCTAAGGTTGCTCTTGGTAACCTTTTACCAGATGGCCTGCTTACTATGATATCCTGCTCATGGCTTGCTCTCTGACTGCATTTGGAGTCCCTCCCACTCACCAGTTGTAGGCTCAGCCATCCAATGCCCTCCTCCGCCCCTCCGCACACTAACACCATCAAGTCCAAACTAATTAGATAACACACTCTATGGACACTCACCAACATGGTATGCTGGAGGTAAAGTGAACGATATCATTGGAAAAAAAGCAATTCATACTACTTTTTAACAATTTCAGTATGTGAATGTTTTGGTATTTCTAAATTCTGTAAGAACAGATTAAACATGCATTTTTGTCTATTATGTTCAATCTGTGTTGCAAGCTATGAACAAAATCCTCCCAGTAATACAGGATACAGTACTTACCTATAAAACTTTTCTGTCCTTTAATAGAGCTGTAACTATAATCCCCAATGCAGCTTAAATCCACGCCCTATGTGATTTCGCTTTTATAGCCATGAGGTATGGAGTTGTGTGTGATTGGCCCCATGGCAAAGATAAGGGTATTAAGAGAATTCAGTAAGGAACCCAAGTACCCATGGCTAGGGAGTGGCCTGGAATGAGAGCTCAGCCCAGCGACCACAGTAGTCCCTAACTATCACTACTTATCCTTCAGGTTATATATGCTTATATAAATTTGATTCCCTTAATAATTTATCCTGATTCCAAATGAGCATGTTATTCCAACAGTCATATATTACAAGTGTGTTTTTTTTCTGGCATATAACCATACTAGAGGCCCAGTGCATGAAATTCATGCATGGGGCAGGGGGTGGGGGTGGGGGGGAGCAGGGGCGATGTCCCTCAGCCCAGCCTGCACCCTCTCCAATCCGGGATCCTTCTGCAATCTGGAACCACTGGCTCCTAATCGCTCACCTGCCTGCCTGCCTGATGTCCTAACTGCTCCCCTGATGGCCTGATCCCCCTAACTGCCCTCCCCTGCTGGCCTGATCACCCTAACTGCCTAACTGCTCTCCCCTCCTGGCCTGATCCCCCTAACTGCCTATGTACTCCTCCTTCCTCTCCGCACCCTTTGGACCCCCGGTGCAGGTGTGCTGATAGCTCTCCACCGCAGCCCTGCCCCCATCCTGATTGCTCATTATGTGATGGCATCCTGGACAATTTGCATATTCCTCTATTATTAGTATAGATTCTGGTTCATACTTAGAATGAAATATATCACTTGACATATCTTGCTTATGTAATAAAATATCTTCTAATACAAATATAACCATATTTAATATCCCTTCTTGTTTAGCTTTATATAAAACACGTGGCTGTAAGCTCTACTACAAGCATGTATTTTGATTCTAGTCTGCGTTTATTTATCTATACCCTGCCTCTTCAGAAATGGATTTGAGGAGGAGTTAGAATTTTTAAATTTGCATATTGAATTGTCTAACTTAGCCATAGACTATCATAACTTTCTGTGTGTATCGAATAAGCAAGCAGTGTTAACTTCATGGGATCTTCGCTGGCAATAACCCTCTTCATTTTTTCCACTTTCAGTGTGGAGAAACTAACTGAGATAGCTCGCTATCACATTGAAACGGCTACGAAAATTCAGAACGAACTTTATTTAGACCAGGACGGCTTCTTCATTAATGGCGACATAAAAGTCTTCCCCGACCCCCTTCCTCCGGTTCGCCCTCCGCCCGTGGAGAGGGAGGAGAATGGCACCCTGACCATCGAGCAGCTGGACACTCTGCGAGAACAGTTCTCAGATATTGCACCCAAAGGTAAGAAAGACGATGGCGATGAAAAGAGCACAAAGAAGGTCAGGATTCGCCAGGATGGTAACCACTTGCCCACAAGCAAAATCAGCCCTCCGGGACTGCACGGCCCCCAAATGAGCCCTGGCTTTGTTGTAGTCCATCTCTTATTTGCTTCATACAACATAGATCCGAATTTAACAAATGGAAGAAAAACAGTGACCAACTCTTTGGCCGTGTGGTGATCATCATTCCTGGCCGGTGAGTTGGTAAATTTGAGCCGTGCTCCATTCAGCAATTGAGGGACGGCTTCGTGTGTGCTTCTGCTTTAGGCTTTGTACGGGGATTGTGAGTTTGTAGAAGTGGATATTGAAGATTATCAACCACTCTTAATCCCTTTCGGAAGGTACCTTAGTAGCTATGGTGATAACCATAATGCGTTCTTAGATCCAACCTCAAAACCAGAGTTTGTATTTCAACCAAAAGTTTAAAAATAAATAACAAAAAAGAAGCTATAACTTGCCAAACCGGTTTGGCTCAGTGGATAGAGCGTCTGCCTGCGGACTGGAGGGTCCCAGGTTCGATTCCGGTCAAGGGCACGTACCTCGGTTGCGGGCACATCCCCAGTGGGGGGTGTGCAGGAGGCGGCTGGTCGATGTTTCTCTCTCATTGATGTTTCTAGCTCTCTATCCCTCTCCCCTCCTCTCTGTAAAAAATCAATAAAATATATTTTAAAAATATAAAAAAAATATAAAAAAGAAGCTATAACTTGACATGTGTATGTCTCAGATTAACTCTAGAGACCCTTGGGATTAAAAGATGTCAACTGATACAGTTATCTATTTTCAGAGTATGGTAGAGTACAACAGCTTTCAAAGTATGGTAGAAAGGGGAAGGAAGGGAGAAGGAAGACAGGGAAGCAGCGAGGGGGAGAAGGAGGGAGTTATATTTTTAACAAAGTAGGTGTAAAAGGAAAACCACTTGCCCTGGGGACTTTGAGTGAAATTTGCATAGGCAAGCGAACAAGAAGAAGACCTAAACGTCTATTTAGGTTCTTTCTGGAACAGAATATGAACTTTATAAACGTACTCAAGAATGACAAGCGAAGGAGAATCAGTATATAGGGAGGTTGGTCAGGCAAAATTTTGTGCAACTACATGTTGGAGGGAGGAACTGAAAGAAGTGAAGAGTGATTTCATGGCAAGGTTACTGGGGGGGGATTTAAAGTTGGGGAACAGTTACTAGGAAGTGTGTGTATATGAGGCATGAGTTGGGGTGTTTCAGGAAAGGGCAGGACCCTGCTCTGCTACTCCTTCCCCATCTGCATGAGCTGCAGGCAAATGGATGGGGAGGCCTCCTCTGTCTGGGGAGCCACCTCCACCCACCGGAGCTGGGGACTTAACCCTGGTTTATGGATGCTGGTTGTGCTTCATGCAGAATTTCCGAGGCTGTATAATACTGAGGGACTTATGGATGTTGATGGTTCAAAATGAGTTACTGTCTATGAGCAAGCAGTTCAATCTCTTTTCTTTATTATTAACTCAAATATACCATTTGGGGGAAAAATATCTATTGGATATTTTGCTTCTTAATTACATGTAAAATACTTCTCACAGCATTTGGGTAGTCTACCAACAGAAGTAATCTTCTGTGCTGTTGTTTTTGCTAATGTTATAAAGGGAAGGCAAACAATAGTTATTCCACTTCCTGTGCCCCAGAGTCACAGAATTAGAGGTTCTCTCATGACACCTTCAAGTCAGGCTGCCAATATTGGCATTGCTCCCACCCCTACCCTGAGCAAGTCCAACAATTGCCACCCACTCCTTCTCCCCCTCACACCCAGCCCCGAAAAGCGTTCTCTGACTTTCACCTTCCCTCTACATTCCTGTCACTGTTGTTCAGTGCCTTAAATGATACACGCCTTTCTAGCTTTTCAATGACATCCTTTGTCACATTCCTTCCAAAAGTTAGAAAACAATATTTTATGATACTTTCCATTGTATTTACCCTACAACTCTACGATATCAAAAGACAATCTCAGTGGGAGTAATAACAGATTTGAAACTGTGGAGCGTTGTCAGAAGGTGGTACATTTCTAGATGTGTGATCCGACAGAACTTCCTGCTATAGAATTTTAAAATTGTTATTATTTCTAAGCTAAGAGAAATAGGAGCTTTTTCTTACACTATTTCATATATGCCAGAGCAGCCTAGGATATTTCAAATGCAAGCTTCAAGCTCACTAAAATATATAAAATAAAATGAACAGATGGATTTCTTTTTCTAGGAAGAAAAGCATACATATTTGCACATAACAGTCATTATGTTACTCGACCTGCAGTAAGAATATTTTTACCAAATTTACATGAATGATGAAAATAGAGTTATAAAGCATAACTTAATGGTGTTAATATTATTCTACATAAATAAAATTATAGAAGGAAATAGATAATCTGTGATTAAAACAAGTGACTGATACTTTAAGTACTTGTGAGTAGTTACTCTCTGTACATAAATGGCAAGAACTAAAGCTTAAGGGGTTTTCTGCTGAGTATTAGCTGATCTACTGGATCTTACTAGCCCTGGCCAGTGTGGCTCAGTTGGTTGTAGCATCATCCCATGCACTGGAAGGTCATGAGTTCAATTCCTGGTCAGGGCACATACCTAGGTTGTGGGTTCAACCCCCAGATGGGGCAAGTACAAGAGGCAACCGACTGATGTTTCTCTCTCTCTCTTTGTCTCTCTCCCTCCCTCTCTAAAAATCAATTTTAAAAAATAGTTCTTACTAAAGATAATGGAAAATGGAAAATGTATCATATTCTCTAATGCTTGTAGTCAACAATCCCTTCCTGGTCAAATTCTGCTGCTTGTGACGATTCTAAGTCTCCTTTGGTAAAGGTAGTAATTAGACATAACATATCATTTCTTAATATGTTTGTCATAAATAGGCTGGGGAAAATGACCTTATGTGTGATAATCATACAAGGTCATGCTAAATGCAATGAAACAACCTTCGTGCTAGCATTTTCTTGCTGCCTGGTGGCATGCACCCTTTAGTATCTTAAGAGAAGCTTAAGTAAGAGGCAGCCCCTGAATCAGCAAGACATTTGTCCCATCGACTGTCTCAGGCATCCTTCCCACGAGCATACTCCCAACAGAGAGGGGATTTAGTGAGTTTTTTCTGAATTATAACAAAAGCCAATATTGACATGGCATCAGAAGCTATGCCATGCTAGCATGGCTGGATGGGTAAGAAGATTCACCGATGGGTAAGAGCAGTCTCACAGCTCTTTTCAAATCCGCTCTTGTCAAATGTTGCAATACGATCTTGGGCTAGTTAACCTCTCTATCTCACTTTCCTCATCTGTAAAATGGATAACTAATGGGGTTATTATGAGTATTAAAGTAATTGATATACATAAACTGCTTAGAAAGTGTCTGGTACCTAGAATGTACAATTAAGTGTAACATAAATCATTTAATTACATAAGTACAGTAGTATATTATTAGAAAATATAGAGCATTATACAATATTGATGTAAACTATTCTTCTTATTATTATTCAAAATCTTAGCTCAGCACCCTGAAGGTGCACATATCCTATTAGCACCTGCAACATTACCCTAGAACACATCCAGAAAAAATTACATTACCTGGTAGAATTAAACCATGGGGTATGTGGCTCCCCAGGGACCATAAGCATCCCAAACAAAAACACTCATTTTTGTATGACAGTAGGCTCTGGGTCGGTACAGCCTGTCTCTAAACAGCAAGTGCCAAGCACATCAGAAAGACAGCCCTTATCCAGTGGAAGCAATTTGGAGTTTGTAGAAACTAGAACACTTTAGCAATGTCTTCTGTCCCCATTTAAACCATAAGAACTCCTTTAGCTCGTAAGCCTGTCTGTACTCTGCATAATGCCCGCAGAGATGCAGTTCAGAGCTATTTGGGCTTCTGCTGAGAGGTGATCTGGGGAGAACAGGTCCAGCAAATCTGACCCTCACTCCTTCCTCAGGAGAGGCAGCGTTCAGTGGTCCAAGGCCTCTCGCATTGCTCTGAGAACTGACAAGCAGCCCCCCGCAAACCCCTCTGGGAGACCCTTAGATCAGGGACTGTCTCAGAGGGCACCATGTCAGAGCTCAGGCTGTGGTGGCTAAGCACACCCATTCAGCTCCTTGGTCTTACAGGAACTCAAGGGAGGAAGCAGTCATGGCCGCCCATGTGGGTCAGCACAGGGGTTCGCTGGCCGGAGACTCCTGAACAGGAGCTTCCAGGAAGAGAAGCGGGGCAGGGCATGCCAGGCACCGGGGACATGGGGCAGACATTGAGATTTGGAGGTGGCATGACATATTTAGGGAACAGCACACAGACCAGCTGGGGCAAGAGGCAGGAGGTGAGGACCACAAAGAGGCTGTGGTCAAGTCGTGAAGTCTCAAGTGGCTGACAAAGGGCACGAAAGAAGAGGGTTACCAAAGGCGTGTGGAGCCGAGGGATGAGGAGCAGGGATTAAAGGAGGAGGCGACCAGGAGAGCAGCTGGGGCTACTCCATCCACAAAGCCTCAGCCAGCCCGGAGGCGGGAGCCAGGGCGCCTGGCTTGTTGCCTGTGAGGAGATGAGTATGTGGGCTGGGCTCTCTGCCTTCAGAGAAGCTGGTATTGTAGGGTTTTGTTTTGTGTAATTTTAATTTTTGTGTGCTTCCATCCGGGTAAGTATACACTCCCCTCTCTGGCAAATCATCACAAATGAGACCTTTTCGGGGAAGGAAAACAAGAGGCATGAATCCCAGCTGCTTTACAAAACCACCTGACGGGTCTCAAAGCCTGACGCCCTTTTGTAACAGGGTGGCTGCGCGGCTGCTGGAGATGCCGGAGACAAGATTCATCCAAGGCAGGCTTTGTTTTTTTAATTCATTTCTGAAAGAGAAATGGAGAGGGAGAGAGAGAGAGAGAGAGAGAGAGAGAGAGAGAGAGAGAGAGAGAGAGAGAGAGAGAGAATCGTTGAACAGCTGCCTCCTGCACACACCCTACT